CGCCTCCACCCTTCTTCACCCCGCCTCCACCCTTCTTCACCCCGCCTTCACCCCGCCTCCACCCTTCTTCACCCCGCCTCCACCCTTCTTCACCCCGCCTTCACCCCGCCTCCACCCTTCTCATGTGCTGTGCTCCAGGCTCCTTGAACCCACTAAACATTGCTGCCTCAGAATTTAATTTATTTGTTCTTTTTTCTAAAATACTGTTCCCTGCTGGCTGGTGGCGCATGCCTTTAATCCCAGCACTGGAGGCAGAGGCAGGTGGTTCTCTGTTTGAGGCCAGCTTAGTCTACATTGCGAATTCCAAGTCAGCAAGGGCTACAAAGAGAGACTCTGTCTCAAAAATCGAAACAATAGTGATAATATAATCTTCCTGCAGGCAGTCACATGACCTGTCCTTTCTTTTCAAAATATCACCTCTTTAGAGCTCCCCTGGGTACTCCATGTAAGTTGTCCACATCTTCTGGTCCTCCGGTTCCTCACTTTATTTTTTTTTTCTTTTTAATTTTTATTAGTGTGTGTGTGTTAGTTCCAGGACAGCTAGTTACAAAGAGAAACCCTATCTCAAAACAAAACAAACAAACAAAAAATTAAAGAAAGTCAGAAAAGGTATCACATCCTCTCCAACTGGAGTTCAGATGGTGAGATGCCTTGTAGAAATCAAAACCGGGTCTTCTGCAAAGGACTAAGTGCTCTTAACAACTGAGACATCTCTCTGCCCGTGTTTGGGGTTTTTTTTGAGACAGGGTCTCACTGTGTAGCTCTGGCTGTCACGAAACTCACTATGCAGATCAGGTTGGCTGGCCTTGAACTCACAGACACCCAGCTGAGCCCTGACTCTGCCTCCTGAGTCCTGGGGTTAAAGGCATGTGCCGCCACCACCCCCTTATATATGTATTATTTATTTATTTATTTTTGAGGCAGAGCTCAGCTAGCCAAGGTTAATTCACTGTATGATCCAGGCTGATCTTGAACTCTGGCAGCCTTTCTGCCTTCACCTCCCTCCCCTCAATGCTGGGATTATGTATAAATCACTATACTCTGCCTCTCAATTTCTTTTGGTTTTGAAACCATCTTCAAAAAAGGAAGGAAGGAGGGAGGAGGGAGGGAGGGAGAAAAAGGAAGAAAGAAAGAAAGAAAGAAAGAAAGAAAGAAAGAAAGAAAGAAAGAAAGGAAGGAAGCCAGGCAGTGGTGGTACATGCCTATAATCCCAGCACTTGGGAGGCAGAGGCAGGCGGATCTCTGTGAGTTCAAGGCGAGCCTGGTCTACAAGAGCTAGTTCCAGGGGCTGGAGAGATGGCTCAGTGGATAAGAGCATTGCCTGCTCTTCCAAAGGTCCTGAGTTCAATTCTCAGCAACCATATGGTGGCTCACAACCATCTGTAATGAGGTCTGGTGCCCTCTTCTGGCCTGCAGACACACAGACAAAATATTGTATACATAAATAAATAAATATTAAAAAAAAAAGAGCTAGTTCCAGGACAGGCTCTAAAGCTACAGAGAAATCCTGTCTCGAAAAACCAAAAATAAAATAAAATAAAATAAAAAATAAAGAAAAAGAAAGAAAGAAAACATGTATGGTTTTTGAGCTAGGTCTCAAAATGACCCAGGCTGGTGTTAAGCTCACTGTGAAGTGAAAACTGTCCTTCAACTCTTGCCATTCCTCCCAAGATCTGGATACAGTCATGCACACACCTTCATTTTTAGTTTTGCTGTTGTTTTTATTTGCTTGGTTTTGAGACTGAATCTCACCGTGTAGCTCTGGCTAGCCTGGAAGTCACTGTGTAAGAGCATCACGGGGGGGCGGGGGCTGGAGAGATGGCTCAGCGGTTAAGAGCATTGCCTGCTCTTCCGAAGGTCCTGAGTTCAATTCCCGGCAACCACATGGTGGCTTACAACCATCTGCAATGAGGTCTGGTGCCCTCTTCTGGCCTTCAGGCATACACACAGACAGAATATTGTACACATAATAAATAAATAAATATATATATAAAAAAAAGAGCATCACGGCCTCAGACTCACAGAGTTTGCCTGACTCCGCATCCAGGATCAAAGGCTGTTTTCCTTCCTTTTCTGCGGTTCTGAGAATTGAGCCCAGGCCTTGCAGATGCAGGCAAGCTCTCTACTACTGAGCTACATCTCCAGCCCTCTTCATCTCCAGCCCTCTTTTTCCTTTATTTATTTATTTATTTATTTTTGAGGCAGAGAGTCTCACTATGGTTCGGTAACTGGCCTGTAGACCGGGCTATTCTCAAACTCGTAGAGATCCTCCTGCTACTGAGATAAAAGCGTGCACCACCACTCCTGGCCTCTGTTTTTGCTTTTTTAGAGATGGTGTCTAAATTCCAAGTGCCAGGTAAGACTTCAGAAGTTTATAGTTACAGCCCCTGTGGTTGCCTTCTTTCTTGTTGACAAGTAGTGATTACAAGGCCAGTTCACAGTTTCTCGCACTTAGTTCAGCACAGACCCTTCCAGGACACAAAATCAAGTTGGTGGAATTTAGAAGAACAGGGCTCGTGCACAGGCCCTTGCATCTCTATATTATAAGCAGCGCCAGGGCGCTTGCCCTTGACGTGACCCTATCTTCCACTCTAGTAGATGCCCTGCTGGCAAGCTGTCTCCAGGGAGAAACTGGGTTTCTCCCCGTCTATTGGTCAGATGAACCCCTTGGAGAAGTCCTTGTTACTACCTGAGAGAACGAGAGCCCATTGGCCAGGACACTTCACAATGACACAGTAGCCCTCAGGATTCTCGTGATTGGCTGGCGACCCGTCTCCAAGAGCCTATGGCCTGAAACCGCGTGTTTTGCTGCCTGGCACCAGGAGTCAGAGCTCCCCCTCCGTGGCTCCCCATTGGCTGTCCTGGCACAAAGCTTTGGAGAGCATGCTCCTGGTCCCGCTGGAGGGCGACTGAACCTAGAGCAAGTTCCAGAAGCTCGACGACAGCTGACGAACACTCAGTCTTCCCTGAAGACCAGTTTTTTTGTTCGTTCGTTCGTTCGTTTTCTGGCCCTGTTCAGGCTTCCCCTTGGAGCTCCGCATCTGTGGTCAGGACGTCAATCCTGAAGGTAAGTTCCACGGCTTCGAGTGATGTGCAGACCTCCTCAGGGATGGCAGAATAAGGATACCCAGCACCTGCATCTCCGTTTTGTTATCTCCTAAATTACCAGAAATTGGTTGTCTTTTTTTTTTTCTTTTGGTTTTCAAGACGGGGTTTCTCTGTGTATCTTTGGATGTCCTAGCACTCACTTTGTAGACCAGGCTGGTCTACAAACTCGAACTCACAGAGGTTCATTCGCCTGCCTCTGCCTCCTCCATACTGGGATTAAAAGCATTCGCCACCACGCCCAGCGTTGGTCGTCTTATTAATTGGACTTTTTGCATCCACATCCACCATGCCCCCTATCCAAATTCCTACTCCTCTTCAATGGTGCTGGGAATCTCTCGTCCTAAAGAATTTGGATTGAGATCCAGACGGGATTGGTGCGGAGCGTGAACTGCAGAGATGTTCTACTATCCCAACGTGCTTCAGCGCCATACAGGCTGCTTCGCTACTATTTGGTGAGTGCAGGGCTAACCGCTAAGCAAGAAGCCAAGTAGTGGGAATTTCAACTTGACAGGCCATACCCGTCCCCACCCTTCCAGGCTAGCGGCAACCCGAGGCAGCCGGTTGGTGAAGCGGGAATATCTGAAAGTGAACATAGTAAAGACCTGGTAAGGCCCGGAAAAGAGGGAGGAGTCTCTGGTTTGAGAGCAACGATGAGTGCAGCATTGACCAGGGTCCGTTGTTCTCTCAGTGAGGAAATACTCAATTATGTGCTGGTACGAGTGCAACCTCCGATGCCCGGGCTGCCCCGGCCCCGCTTCTCCCTCTATCTCTCGGCCCAGCTTCAGATTGGTGTGATACGGGTCTATTCTCAACAGTGCCAGTACCTTGTAGGTAAGGCTGGGGACACCAGAGAAGGGCTAGAGCTGAATGGTCCATGGCTAACTTGGCTGTTTCACCCTCCTTGACCACAGAAGACATCCAGCATATCCTAGAGCATCTGCACCGGGCCCAGCTGCGGATTCGCATTGACATGGAGGAGGCTGACCTGTGAGTCCCGGAACTGGGGCCATCCAGACCTGCTTGGCCTCAGCCTCGTTTTGTTTCGTTTTTTGAAACAGGGTTTCTCTGTCTAGCTTTGGAGCCTGTCCTGGAACTCGCTCTGTAGCCCAGGCTGGCCTCGAACTCACAGAGATCTGCCTGCCTCTGCCTCCTGAGTGCTGGGATTAAAGGTGTGTGCCACCACTGCCCAGCCTTTTTTTTTAAAAAAATACATTCATGTGTGTGTGCGTGCATGCGTGTGTGTGAGAGACCATTCCATGCATGCGGAGGTCAGAGGGACTTTACCTGCTGAGCCATCTCACCCGCTCTCAGCCTTGTCCTTAACATCCTTCATTCTCTCCCAGACCTAGCTTGCTCCTTCCTGACTGCCTGGCCATGATGGAGATGCTGGAAGATGCTCCAGAACCTTTTTTTGGGACGATGTCTGTGGATCCCAGACTTCCCAGCCCTTTTGATATTCCTCAGGTAGGGTTCCTTTCCCCAGACCCCCTTAGAAATCACGAGATGGCAGTATAGAAGGAAGAGTTAGCTGGTGTCCTTGTGTCAATCTGACACTGAGGTCTGGGCATGGAAGCCTGCCTGCTGCAGATTTCCATGGGAGGCCATGGAGCAAGGGGACTGGTGGATGCAAGCAGGCAAAGCCCCAGATCTTGCTTACTTAGGATGGTGTTCCCACGAGAGGCCTTCTTCCCCTATCCCCACTGTTCCCAGCACTGAGACTAGATGTTAGTTTTTCTTCCCCATCATCCCCACAGCTTCGACATCGCTCCATTCCCCATTTTCTCATTGAAGCAGTTGGTCCTGAATGCATATAGTATCAGCGTCTAGGGATCTTGGTGCTTGAATTGAGTGGTACCCATCCCATTTGTTTCTCTTCTCTAGGCAACCTTAGCTACCAAACACTAACGTTTTTCCATGTTCCAAAAATGCCACATTCACTTCTTTGCTTATGAAAATACATTTATCACTCTTCCTTCTCTGCTGGCCAGGGGTCACTTATTCTTACAGACTTAGTCTGATGACACCCTTGCCAGGAAATTACTCCGCTTGAAGCCAAAAGCAATTATGTTTGTGATCTGAGCACTTTACCACGCCTGCTGTCCTCTTTTTGTTGACCCTATTGGAATCACACACAAATGTGTCCCCATTACCATCTACCCAAGCATCTTTCTATTCATCTCTGTCCACAACAACGGTTGCTATATGGATGTTGTGGGGCTTATTGCAAAAATGGATAAGGCTACTTTGGGGGTGAGGTTAGAGCAGGGACGGGGGAGGGAACTAAGTTGGTGACTTTATAACATAATGCTGTCAAATGGCGCAAAGATTTGGTTTAGGGCTGGAGGTATAGCCCAGTGATAGAGCGTTTGTTTAACATGCACAAGGCCTTAGCTTTGATTCCCAGTACTGGAAAGACATGCATGTGTGCCTGTGGTGATGTAAGTAATTTAAGAACTCTCAGGTTTCAAGGAGGAGGGCTGTCGAAAGTTTAAGAGGGCTGGGTGCGGATGGGGCTGGAACCATGCCTAGGGGTGACGAGCGTGTCCTGCTCTTGCCGAGGACAAAACTTCACTGCCAGCTTTCAGCCACCTATAACTCCAGCTCCAGGGATCCAGCATCCAGTTCTGTCTTCTGGCCTCCAAGGGCCCATGCATGCACATGCAGACAAATAAAGTCTGTCTCTAAAATAAATAAGAAGAAAGCAAAAATTCCAAGATAAAAATACAAAGAGAGACTGGCAGATTGGTGCCCAGCGTTCGCTGAGTGTTCTGAGAGGGAAGCCAGAGAGGACTGAAGCTGATTATCTGTCTTTCATTCCTAATTTCTTCCCAAAGATTCGACATCTTTTAGAGGCTGTGACCCCAAAGAAAATTGGTAAGGAGACCCCCTCCTGAAGTCACTGCTGAATCTGTTCTGGGAGGGCAATTCTGATCAAAGACTCAGGGACCCAAGAGATGAATAAATAACTCTTGAGGAGTCCGACCCAGTCGGGTCTGGTGACAAGTCTGTAATCCCACTCCTGCCCAGGTCAGATACTGAGTTCAAGGCCAGCCTAGACTGGTTAAGGAAACCATTTCAACTTGTCCCTTTTTTAAAAAAAAAAAAAAAAAGGGTAAAACAAAAACAAAACAGATGGACACCTGTAATCCCAGCACTCAGAAAATAGAGGCAGGAAGACCAAGAGTTCAAAGCTAGGGGCTGCGAACTGACTCAGGCTGGGTGTGGTGACTGCATACCCTTAATCTGAGCAGTGGCAGAGGCAGGCGGGATCTCTTAGTTTGAAGCCAACCTGGTCTACATAGTGAGGGAAAAAAAGATGCACTTGGGAGTATTTGCTAGTGACTAGCCTGGCTCTTGGTCCCCAAAGTGTTTCTGCCCCCAACAACTTGGAAAGAAGTAATAGGGCTGCCGGGCAGTGGTGGCGCATGCCTTTAATCCCAGCACTAGGGAGGCAGAGGCAGGCGGATCTCTGTGAGTTCGAGGCCAGCCTGGTCTACAAGAGCTAGTTCCAGGACAGGGCCCCAAACTACAGAGAAACCCTGTCTCGAAAAACCAAAAAAAGAAAAAGAAGAAGTAATGGGGCTGCTCTGACTTTCCCACCCCTCCAGACAGGACCTTAGCCACTGCACAGTCTCCTGAGACCATCACCCTACAGGAGGCAGAGCCCATACGCATGTTGCAGATTGAGGTGAGTTTCGCACCCCTGTAGTTCTGCCTTCTCTTTTCCGTTCCCCCACACTCTGTCCCCTTAGTACCCACTGGGCCTCCTTGGGCTCAACCCCAAAAATCCACTGTTTTGCTCTCTCTATAGGGTGAGCAGGATCTCCCAGAGGTCAGTCGAGGAGATTTGGACCTGCTGATTGCCGAGGAAGATGATGCCATATTGCTGGAGGAACGCCGGCGACGCAGGCTTCTCCAGCAGCGGAGGGTTTCCCCAGCACTGGATGGTCAGGTCCCCGCACAGCTAACCTGAGGATGGACAGCGCCCTCTTCTTCTGTCTCCTAAGTGTTCTGATCCCTTTTTTGCAGAATCCAAGGAAGAACCCCGGGTCATGGAGGGTAATGGTGTGGTCCCCTCATTCTCACCTCCAGCTCCAGCACAGTAAGGACAGGAACCCCTGTACCAGATAAAGGGGTCATTGCTGGGAAGGGTTTCCTTATCTGCCTATTTCCCCTCAGGGTTGAAGGCATACAAGAACCACTTCCAGGCCAGCTCTTCCCTCCTGAGGCACAGAAATTGACAGGCTGGGAGCCTGAGGCCATACTCACTGGTAAGCATTCATCACTGGGTGCTTCCTTGGGAACATTTGCACACTTGTAGAGACAAAAGTCCTTACCCCTGCCATCTGAGGGTGACACTAGTAGCTTCAAGAATGAAGGGGCTAGCCAGGTGGCGGTGGCACACACCTTTAATCCCAGCACTTGGGGAGCAGAAGCAGGTGGATCTAGGCCAGCCTGGTCTACATAGTGAGTTCCAGGACATCCAGGGCTACACAAAAACAAAACAAAACAAAACCCCTCTCTCTAAAATCAAAAAACAAACAAAACTGTGGTGATAACACCTGTATTCCAATCACTCCAGAAGGCCTGTGCAGGATCACCTTGAATGCCAGACCTTGTCTTAAAAAAAAGCAAAAATAACCAGGGGGCTTATGGGTGTTGTTGCAGAGGTGACCCCTCCAAAGGAGCTGCGTCTACCCACCCCACCTAGTGCAGAGGTGAGTAGGTTCTCCCCTGAGCTCATCCTCTTTACCTTCCCCCCTACATCTTTGTCCTTAAGCCCAGGGCCATTGCTAGCTTACAGTGAGGATTTTACTTCCGTCGGCAAACGATTACCCCCCAAAATAAATAACCCCTTAAAACATAACTGGTGTGGGATTGATTCGCCGATAATTGACGCCCAACGTTTGGTTTAAGAACCACCCCACCCCGCCACCCCCAGCTCTGCCTCCCAGGATACACAGGTCCGGACAGTCTCTGTCGGCTTACTTTGCCCTGTTCGGCAAACGATGTCCCTTCCCATCCCTTCCTCGTGGTGTGGCCTCTTCCGTCGGTTCCTTTGAGTAAGCTATGAGTTGCATAAGGACTTAGCCCAAGCTTCTTCAGGGCAGAGTGTGGGGCCATTAGTAATCCACTGGAAAGGGGAGGTGGGCAGCCTGACCCTTGCCTCCCCTTCTACTCCAGAAGAGGCCCCCACCTCCTCCAAGCCCACCTGGCCGCCAACGCCGCCAGTTACTCTTCTGGGACAAGGAAACTCAGATCTCCCGGAAGAAATTTGAGGAACAGCTGCAGACCAGGGCTCACTGCTGGGACTATGTGAGTGCAGCTCCGGTTCTCCCCAGGGAGTAGAGGCATGCTGGACTTCTGACCGCCCAAGGATCCCTGGGAATATAACAAAAGACCCTATTTCCTAGAAAGTGTGTGGGGGACTGTGCATACACAACACATCCACCGATCAGGTCGCTGCTACAGGCCAGGACATGAGCCTGAGAGCAGGCACAGGAGGGGTAGTGATGAGCGGTGCTCTCATAAGCGGGCCCACTGGCCTTGCACCCTCTTTGCAGCCCGTGATCCAGTCTCCCAAAAGGATGATTACAAGCCCGGCGGAGCTCTTCAGAACCCCAACTTTCTGTAAGGATGACGATTGGGCAGGTGGGATCTTGAGATCCTGGAATCCTCTGTCCTGTGATTTCACCCTTCCCCTTTGTTGTCAGCGGGCTGGCTGGCGCCAGAACTCCTAGCTTTATGGACCCACTGTGCCCAGACACCCTCAAGAATGCTGAGACAAAGACCACAACGGGAGCCTGAAGAGGCAGCTGAGGAGAGGGAAGTGGCAGGCAGGGAGGGAAGACCGACTGAAGCTCTGAGTGAGATTGAGGTAACCGCCTCCACCATGCCCTGTAAGTCTCAAGTCTGGCCAGCTCTAGCCTGCTCTCTCCTGAAGCACACCAGCCTGCTTACCAGACCTAGACCCTGACCCCTGTGCTTGGGTCTCAGTTCTTGCTCTCTCACCTGCAGGTCCTGAGAGAGGCCCAGGAGCCCAGTGGTCCCCTCATGCTCTCTTCAGGTAGGTGCTGGAGAGGGGTGGGTGGAGACCACTATCCTAACCAGCCTCGGGAAGCAGTACTCCAGTTGCTGAGGCTGTTTCTAATAGGGAGGGGTATGCAGAACTTGACACAGACCTGATGTTTAGTGTTCCCCTTTGTACAAGGCTACACTAGGCTATAGGATATGGGGAGGGGAAGCTTCGTAGTCTTGGGCCTTGTGCATGTCAGGCGAATGCACTACATCCCCAGGATGACAAGGTTCCAGCTCCTTAGAGTCAAGTAGACTCCTCAGTACTCTCTTCCTCACAGAGCTCTCCCTGGAAGCAGCGGAAGAGGAAAAGTCACGTACTAGCCTCATCCCTCCCGAGGAACGGTGGTAAGCAGCCAGGAGCTCCAAGCTCAAACCCATAGTGGTCCTGCCTGTTGTCACAACTGCCAGCCCTCTTCCCTGAGCTACTCCCTTGGTCTGCTAGGGCCTGGACTGAAGAGGGGCAGCCAGAGCCTCCTGCACTGCCCATGCTGCCTGAGATCCCTGAAGTGCCCATGGAGATGCCCCCAGGACCTGAGCTACTCTCTTCAGAGGCTGTACTTAGGTATCAGGGAGGGGTCCCTCAAGGGGTAGGGCTAGGCTGTTACCCTGGCTGATAGTCCTCAATCCCTGCAGAGCGGTAGCATTGGAGCTGCAAGCCAACAGGGAGCCTGACTTCAGCAGCCTGGTACCCCCTCTCAGCCCCCGGAAGTTGGCTTCTCGGGTCTTCTACCTGCTCCTGGGTGAGTGTAGATACAAGAGAGATAGGGGTAGACAGGCCGGAAGCCTAACACACTACAATCGCCTGCCTTCTCCTTTCCCTACCAGTGCTATCCGCAGAGAAGATCCTTCTTGTGGAACAAGAGAAGCCATATGGGCGCCTCCTGATCCATCGGGGCCCCAGATTCCACTAAGCAAGTTCATTAAACCATATCCTACCTCACTGGACTTTGTGGGTTTTTTGTTTTGTTTTGATTTATTTTTAGTTTTAAATTGTGTGTTGGAACTTGTAAGTGAGTGCAGTTGTTTGGAAAGGCCCAAAGAGTTTTGAGCCATCTAGTGTGAGTTCTAGGAACAGAACTCCATCCTCTGCAGGAACAGAACACCCTCTTCAGTGCTGGGACACTCGGCCCCATGCCTGTCTCGTTTCTGAATGCACACTTCTAGTCTTCGCATTCTCGGAGCTAGTGTCCAAGCAGAAAACAAGCTGCCTTTATTACAGTATGATGTCACAGCTCTGCTTGGAATAGATCCAGCCCCAGAGACACCCCTGTTAAGACAGCAAGCAGGATTGACTTCCAACGATACAGTCTTTGGTGAGGTGAGCTGGGCCTGGGCTGACTGGTGGTCTTCAGGCCCTCTGGCCCAGCTGAAGCCTATAGTCTAAGTGAGGCCCAGCATGGCCTGGAGTTCCTGAGCCTTATCAGCAGGCAGTGAGCCCAGGGCTGCATGGAAGCTTTCAGCATGCTCTTTGGCCAGGAACGTCAGGAGCTGCAGTAGTGCTCCCTTGGCGTCTGGGGAGGATGAAGAGAGAGGGCCTAATGAAGGGCTGGATTCTGACACCCTTCTTGCCCCATTTTCCCTTGCCCTTAGCTGTGACTGTCCCCCTCACCTGGCAAGATCCTGTCGTCTGCCAGAATCACGCTACAGATGCGGAAGAGCTCAGGAGCCACATCTACAACCTATGGAAAAGGACTGGTCAGCTCTGGCAGTAACAGCCTGGGGTCCCAGGGCTTAGAATAGTTGGTTGGAAGCAAGGAAAAAAAAGCCCATGAAATTGAGTTGACACCCAACCCAACTGTGAACTAGAGAAGGAATAAGGAAACATAGTAATCTCTTTTTGGAGGTAGTAAAGATGTGTGATAAAAGATTAAAGTTATAGCTTCAAAACCAACGAAATCCAGCATCCAAATGCTCACTCAACACACAGAACAGACTTAAGACAAAAGGGACACAAGAGCAATGGGGCGTGTGTTCACACGTGCTAGCTGGTATATGCAGAATCACTCTGGAAGCAGATTCTGGTGGATGGTGAAACTGTTTTCCTACCCATGACCTAGGAAAGCCTAGGGAAGTTAGGACTGCTGGCTTAGCCCAAGAGAAGTGGGAAAATGCTACCAGAAGCCCCTACTCTCATATCAGGCTGTCTGCCAACTCTGTGGACACAGAGGAAAAAAGAAGCTGGGGATGTAGCTCAGTTGGTAGAAGTGTTTTCCCAGCATGCATGAGGCCCTGCCTGGGCTTGATCCCTAGCACTGCTATAATTAAATCTGGTGTATGCCTGCAATCCCAGCACTTGGGAGGTGGAGGATAGATGGAGAAGGTCTTAGGGCTCAAGGCCGTCCTCAGCTATATAACAAGGCTGGGGCCAACTGGGGATACAGGGAAGGAAAAGGTGGCACACATCTTTAATCCCAGCACTCAGGAGGCAGAGGCAGGCAGATCTGTGAGTTCAAGGCCAGCCTGGTTTACAGTTACAGATGACATCTCCTCTGTCTGCCCTTAGACTGGAGCCTCACACTCTCTTGAGAGCTCCAGCAGCAGGGTACCTGGTCAGGGCTGTTCTGGTGCAGGAAGCTGAAGAGGCAACCCATAGTGATCCACTCCTCCATGTCTTCCTTCAGTGGCAAGGCATGTAGCAGGGCAGCCAGCACCTGAACACACAGATGTCTCAGGCCCATGTGTCCTGTCCCCTCCACCATCCTTGGCCTCCACCCCTGCCTGATGCCCCTTCCTTCACCTGGGGATCTGCTTTCCTTGCTGGACTGGCCATCAGCAGACGGGCAAGAGCCCCGCAGATGTTATCACGGACTCGATCATGTCGCTCCCTTGCCAGGAGGGGCAAGAGGAGGCCCACTAGCTTAGGGAAGTAACTGGTGCACAGTTAAGGAATACACACATTGGCAGACTTCACCCTGCAGCAGCACCTCACCAATCCCTGGGCTCACTTCCAACCCCATTTTCCCTCCTGCAAGCATAGGATACTCCTGAGCAGGGCCGCCCCCATGTTCTACAAGTACACCCAGTCCAAAGACAGCATTGCTCCGCACCTCAGGGTCCGCTTCCCGGGCAGTGTTTAACAGTATAGGGAACAGCCGAGACACAAACTGGGCTGAGGCGGTACCCAGACCTTGAATGGACTCTGCCAGCGTTCCCACTGCAAAGGACTTCTCTGCCGCAGTACAGCTCTGTTTCTAGAGGGAAGGTTGAAGGAGTACAAATTGGCATGGAGGTGGGGCTGGAGGGGTGCAGGCTCTGGGTGCACGGGCAGACTGGGATGTGAGGCCAGGGGACAGAGCACTCACCATCTTAGACAGCAATAATGGCAAGAAACTGGCAAAAAAAGGCGCAAAGGACTGTCCTCCAGCTGCAGCGGCCAGGGCAGGGATAGCCTCTCCAGCATGCTCTAGTAACATGGCGTCATACTCTGCCTGTGGAGCCAGGGGAGTGGCTGGAGCACCAAGGCCGGCTCTGGGACTGTGCAGTTCCCAATCCCGCTCTGCCACTAGCTGCAGGTGGTTCTGGGGCTGCCCTAACTTCACAGGCGGATTCACTTCCAGGATGGCTTTTCAAGAGCCCAGGCCCTCCATTTATCACTGCCAATGCTACTCCATGGCAGTCTCTCTCCTCTGAACACCTCACCACCTTACTGGGATGAGGGTGGCACCTTCCTGGTAGTCACCAACTTCTCTTACCAGCCCTGGCTCCTCCAGGCTAGGCTGAGCGCACTGTCCACTGCTGGCCCTGTGGGGACTAACTAGATTATCTAGACCTCTTTCATCTGAAACTCTTACCTGGTCCTCATCGTCATCCTCTTCCTCCTCCTCGGCGTTCTGACAGGCTGTCTGTGGGAGACACAGTTCAGTGAGTGTGGGCTCTCCTGCCTTCTCCTTTCTGCGGTGGTGGTGAGATGAGCAGAGCTGGACTTGAAGCCTTTGAAAATTCCCTCTTCTGGGACCTGACACCTCCTCTCCCCACAGCCGCCCTTCCCCGCTCACCTTCTTCTGCAGCACAGTCTTGAGCACGATGCAGAGATCATTGAGGCGTCCTGGGGGCTGCACTGCGAGAGTTCCACAGGTGCGCAGCACCCCTGTCAGGGCCTCCAGCACGGCCATCACCACTGGGCGTTCCCTTTCTCCTTTCACTGCCTGCATGTAAGATGGCATCACTCGAGCCAAGGCAAGCTGCAGAGCTGGAGACAGAATTGACCAGAGCCGTAGTCAGGCCCTGCCAGTTCCCAGCGCTCCCAGCCTGCCGGCGTCTCCTCACCGGCACTGGCGGCTTCTGAAGAGCTTTTCTGATGGGCCTTGTGTAGTGCACAGCAGAACTGCCCCAGGGCTTCATGCGCTGCCTTCCGCACATTCACATGGGGACACTGGAACAAAGAGGGCAGGTGTGTGCCTGGCATGTGCAAGATGAGGACAACACTAACTGGAGCTTGAGGCTCCACTGACTCACCTCCAGCAGTTTGAACACTTCATCGAAGACGCAATCCATGTACGGGAGGAAGGCCACACTACGGAAAAATACATAGCAGTGGGGAAAGGGGTCTTGGGAATGGTTCCCAGCAGCATGAAAGGGCTGATGCTCACCAGGTGTTCAGAGAGATCTCCCCCAGGGCAGTGCAGGTATCTTCTTTCTCGTCGAAGAAGGCATTCTCCACACTGTACCTAGGGGCAGGTCGGGAGGCAGTGGTGATGCGTGCAGGAGCGCATCCAGCACTGGGCCCACGTCCAGAACCAAAGTCTTTATTTCTCGAGACAGGGTTTCTGTGTATCCCTGGCTCTTCTTGACCAGGCTGGTCTCAAACTCAGAGATCCGCCTGCCTCTGGCTCCCAAGGGCTGGGATTAAAAGTGTGTTCCACCATCGCCCAGCTCAGTGTCTTAAGTAGAAGAGCACCTCCTCCTACCCCGAGATCTCAGAATCGTCGTCATCTTCCATATCGTCATCCATGAGGTCATCTTCCTCCTCTTCTTCACTCTCATCATCAAATAGAAGGAAGGAGTTGATCCCATCATACTGAGGCTAGATGAAGAAAGCCAAGCAGGGATCTTGGCTCAGGTGGGACAAGATAAATCCCCATCACAGGGTTAGCCTGGTCTATCCGGCCCAGGACACCCATCCTCTGCTCACCACAATGCCCTCGGTGGATCGCAGTGATATCAGCATGAGCGTGGTAATTTGAGGCAGGTAGGGTGCCAGGCCCTCTCCCATCAACCCTGATAAGGCTGCAAACAGGCTGTACCTGATGAAGGTAGAGAGAATCTGTAGTATTGTCTGCTGTAGAGCCCAGGAAACCTGGCTGTGGTTTGGTAGTTGGGATGAGGACTGCCAACCCCCGGTGGGCGGGCAGGAGGGGCAGGGGCACCATTAAGGGTCACTCACGTGCAGCGCCGCAAGTCAGGGTCATCCACGTGGCTGCACAGCCCCAGCCCCAGCTGGCAGCACTCGTTAGCCAGGGGCCTCATGGACTCTCCCAGCGCTCGGGCCAACACTCCCAGGGTCTCTGTGGGAACAAGAGCTCAGCCAGCACTGAGATGTGGAAATCAACTCCAGAACCAAGGGTGGGAGGCACTCAAAACTCCACCCTACTCTCAGGTACAACATGAAGAGCGCCTTTTCACCAAAGGGAGACAGCCGACTGCCCTGGGAGAGGTCTCTGGGAACAGCAGGTGAACCCCGCCTGAATCAAAGTCTCTCCTCACCCAGGCTCTGGATCTGTACAAGCTGAAGGTCCTCGTGGCCTGTCAGCAGGAACCCCCGGATAAGCTCCATGACGGTGGGGAAGTAGGGCAGCAGGGAGTCCTGAGCAGCTGTGGCTACAGGACACAAGAGGATCAGAGCTGGCTGGGAGTGGGGACTGCCCGATGCAGACTTTCTCAGTGAACCCACACCACACCTTCACCTCCTTGCCCCTGTACTCACCAATGGCCCCTATGGCGCTCACGGCTAGCTCCTTGGTCCGGGCTTTGCTGGGGTTCCTCAGGGGCTGCAGCATACACTCCATAAGTTCCGGAAGGTAGGGCTGCACTTTGGACCCTGTGGGAAAGTTTCTTTACCAAAGAAACCGGGTCTCTGACAGCCCATGTGACCTTCTCACACCTCTTTCCCACCCGGCAGCCCCCGTTTAGCCAATGTGTTCCTCCCCTCCCCTGTACTGTACACTCCCATCACTACCTAGGTTCTCCACGAAGTTCTCCAGGGCATAGCAGGCCTTGGCCAGGTGTTGTGTGTTCCCTGTGGGCACTGACTTCAGGTAGGTGAGGAGTAGCGGCATCACTTCCTCAGAATAGTTGCTGATATGGGGCTGGGGAAGAAGCAGGTGGGACCGCTCAGGCTCACCTGAAGAGCACACCTCTTAGGGTCAACGGCAGCAACAATGTTTAAAGAGATGAAACTTTAAGGGCCGGGGGGCCCCCAGCCTTGGGGGGGGATTCTCTCATGTGGTAGCCACCTGCATTTAGCTTTGCTGACCTGCAAGTTCTCTGAAAACTGGCCCAGGGCAAACAAAGCAGCATTGCGAACAATCTGTGAGGAGTCACTCAGGCCCTTGCACACGATCTGGAGCAGCGGGGACAGCAGTCTGAATGGGGCAGAAGAACAAACTCTGAGGGGCAGTACACAAGAACCCTAGTCTCAACCGTTCTCTTCATTCCTCCTGAAAAGGACCAAGACAATCCAGAACTGGCCGTAAAACCATCCTTTATCCCTGGGATGGTAAAGTCGTTTCTCTTCCAAAGCACGACACTTTTGAAAGGCAGCAAACATCCCAACTAGCTAACGATTAAACTGGGCGTGGTGGCCCATGCCTTTAATTCCAGCGCACGGGAGGCGGAGGCAGGCAGGTCTCTAAATTCAAGGCCAGCTTGGTCAACAAAACAGATTCCAGGACAGGCAGGGCTACACAGAGAAACCCTACATCAACAACAAAAGACTGAGATACACCCCCCCAAAAAACATAAAAATATTAAACTGGGCCAGACATGGTCATGCATATCTTTAATCCCAGCACTGGGGAGGCAGAGAAAGGCAGGTTTCTCAAGTGCCAGGCCAGCCAAGGCTACATAGGGAGACGCTGTCTCAAACAAGCGAACAATAAACAGAACCAAGTAAGCTGAAACAGGGATACTAGGACTGCCAGAGCCATTCTTATATGTGACCGACCTCACCCTGGGCCAGGGACTGAATGTAATACCTTTGCCTGATGTAGTCACCAGCACCATCAGACAGGACAGCCAACACCAAGAATCCTGCTTTCCGCTGGTACAGGAAATCACTCCGTAAGGCTTCTTCCAGCATGGGCATCTAGAGAGTACACGGCATGTTCCAAAAGCCCGGCAAGATCACAAGAGTCCCATCACACACCCCCAGGGAGAGTAAGAGCAGGAGAGTCATGCTTACCACAAGGGGACAGAGCTTCTCAGGGGGTAGATGTAGTGCCAGCATGTCCACAACCTGAGAAAGTTCAGGGAGATTGTAATTCCATCTCTAACCTCCTAGGGTCACTTAGCCCCTGTCCCATAATCCACTTGTGATGACGAGTTCATGTCTGATACAAGATGCCTCGGACCGGCCTGAAGTTTACGATTCTACCTCCTCAGCCTCCCTGGTTGTAATGATTGATTTTTCCGCCCCTCCCCTTCCCCCCCGAGACAGGGTTTCTCAGCTGTCCTGGAACTCACAGAGGACCGCCTGCCTCGGCCTGGGAGTGCTGGGATTAAAGTCGTGTCCCACCACTGCCCACCACAGCCCGGCTATAATGGTTATCAGCTTCGTTAGCTTGAGAAATGTTTAGGAGATTGCGATGGTGTTTTAGGGTCAATTAGATCAGGAGGGCTCTCAACTAATGATGAGTTAATCACTTGACAGACACCAGGAGGAGCAAAATGTAGAAGGTAGGGCTTAGTTGGGGGTCATGTCCTTACGGGATCTATCTGGCCCTGGCTCCTTGTATTTCCCTTCTCTGCTTCCTGTCCATAACAAACTGCTCTGCTTTGCTTCCCGGTGGCTATGACTTGAACCACTCTGTTTGACCATTCTTTTCCCACCACAGTAAATGGACATCCTTCCTCCCTTGAATTGTTTCTCTTAGGATGGTCACACTCATTAAGAGACTAAGGTATACCTGGACAGCAAAATGCTTGGGGGTCTCTCCCATCAGCCCAATCTCCAAGTCATCGTCATCAGAATCTTGGTCCTCAGGATCCAACTGGCCCATGGGTGGCTCAGCAGCCATAATTGGGAAAAGGGCATGCAGCAAGGGAGGCAGGAGGCGGTTCTTCAGTAAGGCCTGAGAGGGGAGGAGACTGTCCCTGAGCATCTCCTATGGGCTCAGAAGGAAAAAATTCCACCCTGCCAACCATAAGAAGTCCAGCAAGAGATTCCCAATCTCCTAGACAGGAACAGGAGAAGGCTGGACCAGGGCTTGAGCAGGACCCAAGAACATGACTAAGAGTGGAGATATTGCGATGAGATGACACGCCCAGAGGGTACTTACCTTACTTTTGACTTTGACCAAGAAACTGAGGCAGCAGAGAATACGAACACGAAGTGCGTCGCTAAGGGCCACATTTTTAGCCACCTATACAGACACTAACAAAAATCAGGAACAAGCAAGAAAACTCCCAGCAAAACAAGTACCGGGGGCAGCCCCTGGCTCACCTCCAGGCAGAACATGAGGACCTCAGAGAGGTGGGGAGTGATAATAGGCAGATCTGACTCCAGCAGCTCATCCAGGGCTTCCAAGGCCTCACAGGCCTTTACCTGATGGAGAGGCAAGCCATAGGCTACCAGGCTGCAGGCGCCTATTTCCCTCCCCAAAGGAGAACCCTTCCCATGTCCTTACCTCATCTATGGGGATCAGAGTCCTCACTGCCATAACGATTTTGGGCACCAACATCCGTGCAAGAGGCTGGAGGACACAGGATGAGTTTAATCACAAAAACCACACATGCAGCCTAATCCCAGATCCCAGAAACTAGCAGCTTCCTCATGGCATGCAATCCAAGGAGAAGGCTCCCAGACACACCTGTCGGGCCCAGTCACCCACAGTATCCCCTCAACTGCTAAGAAGAATGGAAGGCAAACTGAAAACCTAAAGCATCTTGGGCCAGAATTTCTGAAGGTAAGGACACAAAGACCAAGAGATAGAGTCGGCAGTGATGGGGGCTGAGCCAGTGTCTCACCACATCATCAGGCCTGAGGTAGGGGGCCAAGGCAGTCAAAGTGCGCAGGGAGTAGAAGAGCAGGCCAGGGGCGCCTACTTCACCCAGAGTTTCGATCAGAAGCTGGAGGAGCTCCCGTTGGTAGGGGTGGAATGCTTCCGGTTGGGTAGACACTACCACACTCAGCAGCAAAAGCCCCACCTGTCCAGAAGCAGAGGGTAAGAGGAGAAAGGCACACAGGGTCCTCGGTCCAGCTTCTCAGCCCCGCCCGGCCCGGCGGCGGGAGCGCACCTCTCTCTCAGGGCTGATGGCGCTGTGCGTGCTCTGCTGAAGAAGGTGCGAGAACTGAGGCCAGGCTTCCAGGCCTTCCTTTCGAAAAATGGTGGCTGAGAGCTGAGCCAAGCTGACACTCACGTAATGCCTGCAAAGAGGGGCATCATCCATAACTGTCCTTCGCTACCCTCATCACCGTCCCCTGCGGACAATGCCCCATAGAGGGGTGCCCGGAAGGGAAGCATCCAGGCTTGAGCACAGTCTTTCCTAAATCGGACACAGAAGGCAACAGCTGGGGGTGAAGAAAGGAAGGTGGCATTTGATCTGGCTCGTTCAGCACCTCTGGACAGGCTAAATTTCGCTCTCGTTTTCTGGTTGGGGCTTGGCAGATCATTTTCACCCATTCTCAAAAACTTTAGTGTTCACAGGCTCCACCTTCAAGGACTGAATGACGTCTCTGTTCCCTAATCCCAGCCAGGGGCTGAAAAGAAGGCAGAAGCCCAGAGAGGACCCCCGCCCCAAACCAGTTAGGACCCCCAAGAGAAGGCGCTACGCACTTACTCTGTCTCTCTCTGTAGGGCTGTCAGGACCAGGTTCTTGAGGCTGGAAGACAGGTGGCAAAGGCTTGGTACCTAGCCTGTTAAAGGGGCGACGAGGCCTGGCCCTTCCCATCCCAAACCTAGCCCACCTCTCGCGTTGCTCAGGTGCCAAGCGTCGCCAGCGGGTGCTCAGCCTTCTACGGGTAAGGACCGCTGCAAACTGGCGGATCTAGGGAGAGCGGAGGTAGCCAAGTCAGAATGGCAGGCAGCAGGGAGATGAACAGACCGCAGGGGGTGGAGGCTGGGGCGGGATCACGGGCACACTGAGGAATTTCAGAATTTCGGCGAGGAGGAGCAGGTAACTCGCCTGTGGGTCTGTCGCAGAGGCCAACAGGTCGCAAAGCGCAGGCAAGGCAGCAGGGTCCCGAAGGGCAGCCTGGAGCTGCTCCGTGGCCTGGTGGGAGGCTGGGGGTCAAGACCGGCCTTTTCCCACAGCCTCCCCCTCCCCCTGGCCCGGCTGGGCCTGCCCATACCCGGCGGATGCGTTCGGTGTCCGGCAGCAGCAGCTCCTTTAGGATCTTCTCTAGCTCCGCAGGATCCATGGCAGCAGCTGAGCAGCCGCTACAGCGCCGAGTGGGGAGGGCGGGGGTGGGGTGAGGGGAGGAACGGCACGTGGAGACTCGGACACCAACTTCCGGCGGAAAGGGCGTTACTCTGCGACTCTTCTGTCGCCTGGGTCATTAATGCATCTTGCTTCCCTTAAAAAATTCCTGCAGGAGACTGGCGTCAGTCTGGGCTTCCGTCAGGCTGAGCACCGGGTAAACCACAGAAACAGAGCCCCGGCAAAGTGGGTTCCCCGCGCCGACAGTTCCCAAGGGTCCAGGGTTTGTGCGACAGTAGCGGACTCGGTTTTCAAAGGGACGGAGCATTGACAACAGGCCTCGGGTTTCTGTAACTAGACCAAAACCTCCAACTACAGGATCCGTTTTCTTAATAAATTTTATTTTAATTTGTAAAAAGAAAAAAAAATCAGGACTAAAACGTAAGGCAACTTAAAAAGTTCAAATATATATTCCTTATATCATAGAGATTTTTAATTTCCTGGTCCTCTCTAAGAAGGGAGGCCCAAGGGGCAAAGGGGAAGAAGGAAGGCGACAATGCCATCACACAATTCAGTCGGAAGCTATCAAGTGGAATCAACGGGGCATGATGAAAGCACGAGGAGAGCAATAGTTCTGTCCCTCAGAACTCAGTCCATCTTGAGGTTAACATAGATATAACGGATGAACTTTAAGGAAGAGAAAAAGGAGATGGTGCCCAGCATGAGGAAGAACACATAACCAGTCAGTAAAGAGTAGCCAAAGAACTCCACTGTCTGCACTGCCCCTGACATGTTGGAGCGCCGGGCATAGTAGAACACGGAGTAGAGGAAGATGAAAAGTCCGGTGGAGCCGACACTCAGCACTGATCGCCACCACCAGCGGTAATCTTCGCCCGACAGCTGGAAGTAGGTGAGCGCGATGGAGATGCAGGCCCCCACACTCAGCAGGATGGCGAAGACAAAGAAGAGGATGCCATACAAAGTGTACTGCTCTCGACCCCAGACGGTGGCGAAGATGTAGTACAGCTCCACAGAGATGGCACTGTGAAGAGAAGAGGGGACCCAGCATTAAAGCGCTGTGCACAGCCACACCATGCTGAGCCAAACTCACCCACACCCTCCGGCACTGCAGTCAGCAAGGAAATCAAGGCAACCTGGGGATATCCCCCCCCCTCCCGAACACACACACAGATTCTTTGTAGTTTTGGAGCCTGTGCTGGAACTAGCTCCAGGCTGGCCTCAAACTCAGAGAAATCTGCCTACCTCTGCCTCCCAAGTGCTGGGACTGATTAAAGGCGTGCGCCACCACCACCTGGTGTACCTGGGGATTCTTTTGCGTATGATTAGTTCTCTTATTTCATAAACATCTTCCCTGACAGGCATATGTCTACACTACTACTATTTGGGAGGCTAAGGCAGGAGGATTGCCAAGTTCAAAGCCAGTCTGGGCTACAGAGCAAGTTCAAGGCCAGCCTGGAAAACTTAGTGAGATTGTCTCAAAATGAAAGATAAGAAAGGGCTAGGATGTCACTCAGTGGTAGAGTGCTTGCCAAATAATGCATGAGGCCTTAAGTACACTCCAATAGTACAAAAAGGGAGTAAGAGAAAGGGGGAAAAAGCAGCTACTCTGTTGTATTTATTTTCTGCTGTGTTGTTGAAAAGGTGCATAGTAAGCTGGATGAGTAAACAAAGGGGCTCAAGTTCTACACACCTGTAAACACTAAAGGAAAATCAGGTCCTACAGGCATTGGTCAGGGCTTAAAGTCCATCTGCTTGCTGTTTGCTGAGGAGCGGAGCTTCAGAAGTAAAACACTCACATCTGAATTTGCTGAAGCTCATTCCTGCTAGGAGGCACCATTTTATGAGCTCTCACTAAACTGGGGATTGTTACTGGGTTATGGTATTGAAGTGGCAGAAGGAAAAGCTGAATCAAAACCCGACATTGGCAAGGTGTGGTAATGCACTTCTATAATCCAAGCACCCAAGGCACAATTGTATATTTTAATCCAGCCTTCTAAGACTGTCTCAAAACAAACCAACACCCTCTAGTGTCCAAAACCAAACCAAACTAAAACACTCCCGAGTGATGGGCGTGGTATGAAGTGTAGGTACCTGAAAGGCAAGAAGCCACCAACAGTCATGTGGATGATAGTAGACTTGTACCAGGGTTGGGGTGGGATCTCCCGGGCGATGTTCTTAGTGCGACAAGGTGCGTCAAAGGGACTAGCGTTGTTCTTCCCGAAGATGCCTCCAATGACAGTAAGAGGAAAGCCTACCAGTAGCCAGACCGTCAGAAGCAGCAGGATGGTTGTGGCTGGTAGAGCCTGTGTCGAACCATTGGCCCAATGCACTGAGTTCACCACACTCCACGTCAGGAAGAAAGGCACTGCAGGAAGGAGGGTCAGCAGTAGGAGCAACACCCCTGTGACACCCCACTCAGACTGGACCTAAAGGGGAGAGGGATGAAGTAGCCTGCCACTTACAGGGCCCAACTATGCTCCCAGATATCCAGAGCTGAATGAATTCACCTTGACCCTTTCATAGCTCATTGTTCTTTGTTTTTTATTTTCTAAACACCCTCTTCCTCCCACCCGATACCATCAAGAATCAAGACAGTTGCTTCATCGTGGTCTGAGAGTGATAAAAATCACTACAGGAACCTTGTCTTGCCATGCCTTGATAATTCCTGGCATGAAACAGTCATTTGGGTTAAGGATCTGTTCTCAGAAAGCCATGCTTAAAATATAAATATGATGGGGTATAAATCAAATACACCAAACTGGAAATAGCAAGGTTTAGAATGTAGACTACTACTGTCTCTGAAAAGGCAATCTGAGCAGGGAGGTGGTGGCACACACCTTTACTCCCAGTACTCAAAGGCAGAGGCCAGCCTGGTCTACAAAGCAAGTTCCAGGACAATCAGGACTGTTACACTAAGAAACACCAACTGGGGGTCAACAATCTGGTTTGAAGGCTAGAATGAACCTACCTCCAAAATAAAAACAGTATCAAAAAATAAATTTAAGGATGCTATTTAAGGGGGTTGAAGAGATGGTTCAATTGGTAAAGTCCTTTCCCCCACAGCATCCAACTTGGAGACCCAAGTTGGATCTCCAGCATCCACATTTAAAACAAACAAAATCGAGTCAGACGTAGTAGTAGCCAGGGCTCTTGATTACTGTACAAGGGAGGCAAAGACAGGAGGATGCTTAGGGCTCAATGGTTGTCCACATCAGCTAATTCAGTGAGCTCCGACTTCAGTCAAACCCTGGCTCCAAAATCAAGGTGAGTTCCTGAGAAGGACACCTGATGTTGACATCTGCCTTCCCCGTGCACACAAGTTCCCAGCACCCACACAAGTAGACACACCACACTATTTAAGCATAATGTCTGAGAAACTGATGGTTCAGTTGGTAAAGTGCTGTTCATGAAGGCCTAGGTTCAATCCTCAGATCCCCATATGAAAAAAAGCTAGGCATAGTTGCTCAAGCTGTTTTGTTTGTTTTTGTTTTTTTATTGTTATTTTAGACAAAAGTCTATTCAGCCCTGATTGTCTTGGAACTGGTTCTGTAGACCAGGCTGGACTTGAAGTCAGAGATCCGCCTGCTTCTGTCTGACAAGATTAAAGGCGTGCACCACCATAGCTAAGAGATTCTTTTTGATGGATTTTTCTTATGAAATTCCTGCTGGGGCTAGAGAGATTGCTCCGTGGTTAATAGCACTTCCTGTTCTTACAGAGGACTTGGGTTCGATTCCCAGCGCCCACATGGTAGCTCACAGCCCTCTGTCACTCCAATTCCAGGGGATCAGACACCTTCTTGTGGCCTCCATGACTACGTTGCACATGCATACATGCAGGCAAAACACTCATACACATAAACATTTTTAAAAATCCTCCCTATGGGCTGGAGAGATGGCTCAGCAGTTAAGAGCACTGGCTGCTCTTCCTAGAAATCCTGAGTTCAATTTCCTTCATCTACATGGTAGCTCGCAGTCATCTCTAGTGAGATCTGGTGCCCTCTTCTGGCCGCAGGCATACATGCAGACAGAACACTGTATACATAATAATTAAATAAATCTTTTTTTAAAAAAATCCATATTCCCTGCACTGCCTCAATCCCAGGGCCCATGAAGTGCTCCTAGTCCCTAAATCTAGACAGACCCACCACGAAAGGGGAAGTTCTCACCAGAGAAAAGACTGGTCGTGAGAATGATGTTCCACACCCAGCGCTCGCCTCCGATCTGCCGGTAGAAGTGGCTGGACACATAGCCAGAGATGCAGCAGGTCAGGGCATACAACAAGATGGCTGCCGAGTTAATGGCTCCATGACGGTGCACATTGAACATGCCCAGCAACGCCATGACAATAATGCCTACAGGGTAGCAGTGGAAAATTCGTTAGGTCTCACCTACATCTCTTCTCAATGTCAGAGAAATAATTCCCTTAACCCAGATAAAGGACCTCATTTGATAACATTTCCCTAGTTCTACTGTCAGGAAAACCCATATACAACCTCACTAGAGCTATGGTCTCCCTTAGGTTTTTTCTCATCTTGAAGAGAAGATCCACTGAACTTTTATAATAACCTATCTGCTACCCTTTGAGAGCAATTCATATCACCTCACCAGTGCCAAGAGCCAGGAACTGGGCGCCCACACCAAGCACAGCACAGAGCAGACCGCGGTATGGAGGGAAGCGGAAGACATCTGTATGGATAATTTTCCAGCCATTATCACCCTGGTCAAAGTCATCACTAGAGCCTCCAGAGCTGGTCTCTTCATCTAGGTTGTACCGAGCCAGGTCATTTCGAAGCACACGCATTAGAATAACAGCCACAAAACCCACCAGTAAAAACACAAGCACCATGGAGTTGATGATGGACAACCAATGGATTTCCAGTGTTCGAGGAAAGAAACCACCATCATCACCACGGCGCCTATCACTCCGACGCTCCACTGAAGTCTCAGACCAGCGCACACTGTAAGTGTGAGTAAGGCCAAGGAGTTCATCAGATCGTAAACCATCCAAGCTGTGGGGCTTGACATCCCGAACTGAAACATTGGCAAATATGATTCGATCTCCGTGGAATTCCAGGTGGAAGTCCAAATGTGTCCAGAGACCTATCTTGTGGCTATGTGGCAGGAAGCCGCTCTCTTCCATGTAGCCCACAAAACCACGGATTGGCAAGTCATCTACCACAAATTCAAAGTAATACAATTCCTCAATGGCCTGGCGCAGCTGCTCCACCTATAGAGAACAAGCCAGGGGTCAGTATACAAAGCCTCTCAGGGTTAACGCTGTGTTTCTCAACTCGGCAGTATTCATAGTTTGGGCTGGATGATTCTGTGCTGTAGGGAGATGCTGTGCATTGCAGAATTCAGCACCCTTGATCTCTACTCACTACACACCAACAGTACCACTGCTGAATCATGACAATCAGCATCTCCAAAGCCAGGCATGGAATAAAACATCCCTGTTATCCCAGCACTTAAAAGGTTCGTCTTGGGTTTGAGGCCAGCCTGGGCTACAGAGTATGACCTTATTTATCTCAACAAACAAAAAAACCCAAATCAAACAAACAAAATGTCTCTTAACACTGCCGAAGTTCCTCAAGGAACAAAACTGTCTCACATTGAGACTCACTGATTGATTCTGGTATACTGGTCCCCGAAAAGAGCAAGTATGACTTTGATGGGATAAAGTCTCAAAAAAACAAGTGGGACAAAGTGTTAAAAAAAAAGACTGGAATCGATTAAGAAGTGCCAGGATTTGTTTAAAAAAAAAAAAAGCAACAGGGATAGTTAGACAGTAAAGGAGCTGAGAAAGAGCCAAAGGAGTGTATGAAAGGAAAGAATTAAACAGAGTCTTAAGTAAGGACATTTTATCAGTTCTGCATCTCAGTATCCATGTAATCCTGAAAAGTCAGTTCTTGAACACCGCTAAGCAAGTACTGGGTTGTGGTTAGAGTCCCAAGACAGATAGTTTCCATAAAAGCACCACAACTGCAAGGCACTGCTAGTCTCTGGCGGGGCGGGGGAGGGGGCGCTAAAGTGATAAAGAATGTGGAGAGCTGACCTGTGCAGAACTGAGCTGCATGTGGCACAGAATTCTCTTCTCCACATTCTCCCGAAAGCGGATCTCGTACAAAGATTCGGCCATTCGGTCCCCATCCAGTACTTCACCCAAACTAAGACTTTTGTGACGGATCTTCTCAGGACAGCAGACTGGAAGCTGATAGTAGTGGTAAGTTTCCTGGGGGTTATGGTAGGGTCCCACTTTGTTGACATATAGAATGACAGGGTCGCCGGGCTTGTAGTGTGTCACACCTTCCACCCCTGGCCCATGGCCTGTGCCAAGCAACAGTATCAGGACTGGCAAACACTGGCAGCTCCAACTTCGAGGGTGCCCTAGGACTGTCATCTTTAAGGCAGCAGAACCTGTTGGGGGAATCCCGAGGTTACAGAAACTAGGTATCAAATCGTGACGCCCCGGGTCTGGTCTCTCAAACGCCCATTGGCTCCACTTCCTCCCATTGGCCTCCCGATCCCCACACCGCACGACTTCTACCCCCAAAGACGGGGCTCCGCGTGCGCTCGACAGTACTCCCAACCCGGGGTTCAAGCCTCTCCTCGGCCTCCCCCACCCGGGGCTTCTGCTGCGCGCGCCAACCCGTTTCTATGGCAACGCCCGGCGGGCTCGCTGCTCGGGCAGAGGCACCGGCCGCAGCTTCGGGCTCCTCGCTGCGAGGTACCGGCTGGCCAAAGAGGCGCCAGGGCCTCGCAGGCCCCCGTAGCTGCCCTTGGGCTTCTGCCCGGGTTCCCAGAGAGCGGCGCCGGAGCGGTAGGCTTGCCGAGGACCTGACGACGGACCTCGTCGGGGTTGTCCGCTTCTGTGCCTGATCGCCGCGACTGCGACCACACCGCCGGCGTCCACTCTCGGCCCGCCCAAATGCTTCCCAAAGAGCTCTGGCTCGCCCGCGGTCGGGCCCCGCTACGAAACCCCCTAAGCTCGCTCCCCGAGTCTGCGGGCGATGCAAGTGTTCTTCCCGGCGAGCAGCACCGCAGCCCGGCCACGTCAGCCTTACCACTTCCGCCCTCGCCGGCAGGGACCTCAGCTCCGGGAAGGCTCGTCTCCGGAGGCAAGAGCTCCGTGGTGCTCGCGCGCGTGTTGCGGGCGGCTTCCCACGCGGGCTTGCGCGGACCGGGCTGCCCACCCCAGGCTGGAGAGAGATGGTCGGGGAGTGCGAGCGCTGGCGGCCGAAGGCTGGAGCCGTCCCCGGCTGCTGAGGCCGGCCCTGACGCCGAGAGGTACCCCTACCTGGGCGGGGCGAGGTTTTCGCGGCGTTCCCACGCCGGGGTCCCGTGGCCTCACACACCTTGGTGAAGGTGTCCTTCCGAGACTTTCGGGCGATACAGAGGAGTTTGCGGGGCCTGGGAGCAGTTTTCCAAACCAAACAGGGCTGGTTTGTTTTACTTTTTCTTTACTTTTCTTTTTTTTCGAAACAGGGTTTCTTTGTGTAGCTAACTTTGTCAGTCCAGGAACTGCCTCCTCTGGCCTCGAACTCGGAGATCCGCTTGCCTCCGCCGCCCGAGTGCTGGAACTAAAGGAGTGCTTCGCCACTGCCGGGCTGACAGGGTTGTTTTTAGTCGGAGGTAGTATCTTTCACAGGAGTCCCGGCTGACCTCGAACTCGGAGGTCCCCCGAGTTTTCAGGTATGCAACGCCATACCTAGCTTCCATCATTTTGTTCTGTGTATGTCTGTGCGGAGCATTTGGCCCTCTCCCTCATCTTGCAGGTTATTTTGAAAATGTTTACTTCTGTCTGGCTGTGCCATTGTTAAGGGGCTCTGCCCTGGGGGATTCCCTCTGAGCAGTGACTCACTTGGCAACAGTGGGAGCAAAATGGGAGGAAGCTGACAAAGTTGTCTGCCCCAGGGGAAGTAAGTACTGAAGAAAATCACCAGCCGCCCTTCTCTTACCCACTCTCTCGGCACCCGTCCGTCCTGAGGCAGTGAGATTCTAGGAAGCTCTGATTGAGTCTGACACAGTGGCTTTTGTTTTGTCCGTTTTGCTCCCCTCGAGACAGGTTATAAAAGACTCTGGGGCATTTCAGCATTACTGCCCCCTACCGGCCGGGCACCCAGAGATCTCGCATCCTCGCACCCGGTCCAGGTTGGCGATTCAATGTATGTTCGGAGACATCGGTCCCAAAGCCTCGAAACTGGTCCTTACGACACCCACCGCCCTCAAGGTGGACAGTATTGCAGCCTGGATCCAGGCGTCTCACGTTAAGCGGCACCTCCGCAGGACAACCCAGGACCCTCCCAATGGAAGCTTCAGCACACCCCAAATCCTCTAAAGCTAAGACTTGTCAGATCAGCCTGGTCCTGCCAGTTTTGCTGGCTTTTACTCTGATGCCCCTGCCCACCTATAGTAACCCCCATGCACCCCAAAAACTGACTTGGCAGGTTTCCTCACAAACTGGAGAAATCATTTGGACCACCTCCAAACTAGTCCCTCCAGGTACGTGGTGGCCTACCCTCTCCCCTGATTTCTGTCAATTAGCGGCTGGATTAGACTCCTGGGATATCCCAGACTCACAGCCCCAACAGTTGTCTGTAGATGCTGGCAAAAGATTTTCTCCTGGGGGAAAATTTGGATGCGGGAGTCCAGAGGCGAGATGCTTTTTAGGAAAACTAGATTTCTACGTCTGTCCCAAAGATGGCCGGGGTCAGAGTACTGCTCGACGTTGTGGAGGTTTAGAAAGCCTATACTGTGCTGCCTGGGGATGTGAGACCACTGGAGATGCGTATTGGAGACCCAGTTCTTGGGACTGGATCACTGTTCAGAAGAATTACACGTCCCCAGAACAATGTTCCAGTGCGAGTGCAGGAACCTGCAGCACCAGCCCCACTTGCTTACCCTTAAATATTACCATTACTTCCCAGGGACGAGCAGGAGGGACTTCAGGATGGATACAGGGAAGGACTTGGGGCATCCGATGGTATTTTCCAAATAGAATGATCAAAAAGGATTTGGGTGCTACCTTCACAATAAAATTAAAAATAGAAAGTCCCCCGGGTGAGCCAGTGGGGCCCAATCAGGTACTACCTGACCAGGGACCTCCTGCCTCCGTACCTCCTAAAGAGACCTATATTTCCCCAAGGCCTATGTCTGGGGACCCTAGTCCCCTGATATCAACATCTGTGCAACCAAACTCTCCCTAGTCCCAGGACAACAGGAAACAGATACCTGGTACCCTCCTCTATTGATCTGTGGTGGGCCTGCAACACTGATCTGACTCCTTGTATCTCTACCTCTGTCTTTAATGACGCCACTGATTTCTGTGTGCTGATTCAACTAGTCCCCCAAATGTACTATCATAATGCTTCCAGTTTTGAGACTGAGTTTGACCTACACCCCAGACACCGAAAAAGTGAACTGGCCACCATCATCTAGTTAGGTCTGGGGTTGGGGGCTGCAGAGGTGGGACTGGGATCTACAGCTTTGGTTAGGGGAGATCAGTACTACTCCCAATTAAGAGCAGCTATGGGTGAAGACTTAAGGGCCCTAGAACAGTCCATCTCCGAGCTTGAAGAATCGATGACCTCGCTCTCAGAAGTGGTGTTACAAAATAGGCACAGGTGCCAGCCTCAGGCTTTGTGCTTGGTTGATAGGCGGTTTTGTCGGAGACAGGATCTCTGCAACCTCTTCTGGCCTCAAACCTTCAGTGAGCTCTTGCCTCAGCAGGGGTTGTAAGGCTGTACCACTGTGCTTCATTTGTCTGTTTTTCTTAAAAGCTCTGTGTGTGTGTGTGTGCTCGCCCAAGGAGGCCAGAAAAGGATATTGGTTCCCCTGTAGCTCAGCCAGCAGGGTTACACTTCTAGTGGGTAGGACTTAATAAGTCCCCTATGGTGTAATCATTTTGGAAGAGGTTCAGGTTTAATGAGAGTCCCTGTCTCAAAACAACACCCAAGGTTGATGATTTGAATGAAATGCCCCACATTGTCTTGGACATTTAAAGTTTTGGTTCCCACTTGGTGGCAGTGTTTGGGGAGGTTGTGGAATTGTGGTCCTGTTGGAGAATGGCGCTGGGGGCAGGCATTGGGAGGCTGCTGGGTTCCTGCTTGCAGCTCAAGTCATGACCCCCTGGAACTATAAATGCAAATAAACTTTTCTCTGTAACTTGACTTGGTTATGGTGTTTTATCACAGCAATAAAATAATACAAAGGTAGAAGTAACCCACTTCCTTCTCTGACCGCCACATGCATATGAACCTTCAGCACACACAAAGAAAAAAATTACAGTCCTCTTACCTTTGCCTCCTGGGTGCTCAGATTGTAGGTATTCACCAGCCATGCCCAAGCCTACCCCACAGAATCTGAGAACTCTGAACACACCCTCCTGCCTGTGCTGACCAGTTTTATATAAACGACACAACCTAGAGTCGTTTGGAAAGAACCACAGCTGAGGCACAATCTGCCCCTGCCAGATTGGCCTGTGGGCAGACCTGTGGTCCATTTTCTTGATTGATGTGGGAAGGCCCACTCACTGTTGGCCCTGTGGGTGCTGGACTGATGGTCCTGGGTGCTAGAAGAAAAGCTAAACAAGCCATGGGGAGCAAACCTCCATGGCCTCCAAAGCAGTTTCTGCTTCTAGGTTCCTCCCTTGAGTTTTGCCCTGAGTTCTCTGGATTATGAGCTACAAGCTGTAAAATGAAATAAAGTCTTTCCTCCCCGAGTTCCCTGTCGCTGTGGTGTTCTGTCACAGCAGTAGAAGCCATGAGACACTGCCCCTGTCACTTTGTCATTCCCCTGAACTTGTCCTTCCTTTCAGCTGAGACTTGTAACCCATCTCCCAGTCTCTTTGGTTTTTCTTCTGGTTTCTTTATATAATTTAGAGTCTATATTCCATCATTCCAGCCACATTCTTTTTTGTTTGTTTGTTATTATTTGAGTCAGTTTCTGTGTAGCCTTGGCGGTCCTGGAATTAGCTCTGTGGACCAGGCTGGCCTTGAACTCATAGAAATCCACCTGCCTAGCCTCCCAGGTGCTAGGATTAAAGATGTGTGACACCATTTACAAGTTTGTTTTATTATTATTTTTTAAAAGATTGCATTTATTTATGTGCATTGATGTTTTGCCTGCATGTATGGCTGTGTGAGGTGTCAGATCTTGGAGTTACAGACAGTTATAAGCTGCCATGTGGGTGTTGGGAATTGAACCTGGGTTCTCTGGAAGAATGGTGAGTACTCTTAACAGCTGAAAGATATCTCCAGCCCCTCCCCCCCCTTAATAATGTATATGGATGTTTTGTGTCTGCGCACTGTGTGCCTGATATCCATCAAGGCCAGGAGAGTATGGGTCCTGTGGGACTGGAGCTACAGACAGTTGTGAACCACCATGTGGGTGCTGGGAATTGAACTCTAGTTTGAGAAAGCAGGCAGTTCTAAGCCACCAACCCATCTCTCCAGCCCTACCCTGAGTTCTTGATTCTTTGTTTTGTTTTTCAAGACAGGGTTTCTCTGTGTAGCCCTGGAACTCACTCTGTAGAGCAGAGAGGCCTTGAACTCAAGAGATGTGCCTACCTCTGCCTCCCCAGTGCTGGGGCTAAAGGTGTCCACCTCCACTCCCTGGCATAAGTTCTTGAGTCTTTGTTTTGAATCATTTAAATTTATTTCATGTGCATTGGTGTGAGGGTGTCAGATCCCCTGGCACTGGAGTACCCCAGTTGTGAGCTGCAGTTGAACCCAGGTCCTCGGGAGGAGCAGCTGTTGTTATCTTAGCTGTTGAGTCATCTCTCCAGCCCTGAGTTCTTGATGATTTTATTGAAGCTGCCAAGCAAAACTATAACTTTGGATTAAATCAGTGTTCAAGATGCTAAAAGAATCTCAACACTATATTTCTGTAGACTGTCAGGCTCTCAGTCCTGCCCTGTCAATTTACTAATTGTCCAAACCTCCTATCCCTTCTCTACAACCCATTGATCTCAGGCATTGGACATGAATATACGGATGTGTACAAGTGTGTGGAGGCCAGAGGTCATCTACACTGTCTCACTGGAACTGGCCAGTAAGCTCCAAGGGTTCCCCTGATTGTGTTTCCTTAGCCAGGAAGTCACAAGTGCACATTAACACCCTGTTACATGGATGCTAGGGATCAAATCCAGGGCTTGACACTTGTGCACTAAATACTCTACTGACTAGGGATTCTTCAGCTCCATCTTCTCAAACGTCTTTCATCACTGGACTGTTCTGTGTAGGCAGGTGATTTAAGATATGCAGTCATGGCCTGTTGAAGAAGTGTGTGCATATAATCCCAGTACTTTGGAGGCTAAATCAGTAGGATGATGGGGTTGAGTCCAGACAACAGCCAAGACTAAAGGGAGACATTCAAAATCAAGAGATCCTAAGTTCTTTTTTTTTAAATATTTATTTATTTATTATGTATACAATATTCTGTCTGTGTGTATGCCTGCAGGCCAGAAGAGGACACCAGACCCCATTTCAGATGGTTGTGAGCCACCATGTGGTTGCTGGGAATTGAACTCAGGACCTTTGGAAGAGCAGGCAATGCTCTTAACCTCTGAGCCATCTCTCCAGCCCAGATCCTAAGTTCTGAAAGAAAAGCAGGAAGTTTCCAGAAAGAGAGAGAAAGAAAGAAGTCAAGAAAGAGCAAAAGGAAGGAAAAGAGAAAGAAGGCAAGACAGAAGAAAAGAAAGGAAGGAGACAGAAAATGGAGTAGTATTTCTCTTTGCCTGGAGCATTATGTGGATGTGTGCTAAGCTGGCCTGGTTTTGGACCTGGTGGCACAGGCCTGGAATCCTCACGGCTGCAAAGGCCAAGACAATTCTCTTATTGCAAGTTTGGTGCCTGCCTGGTGAACTTAGTGAAACTGTCAAAAAAGAATAAAAGAAAAGATGCTGATATATAGCTCATAGTTTCATTTATTTCCCTCGCATGTGAGAGACTATAGATTCAACCCATGGCACTTAGGTACCCACTGAGGCAGAAACTGAAATTTAGAATTCAGGGCCAGCCTAGGATAGATAATGATACCCTTTCTGAGAGAGAGAGAGAGAGAGAGAGAGAGAGAGAGAGAGAGAGAAATCCAAACAAAAAACAATGGATCTGGAACTGTCTGAATTACAGACAGTTGTGAGCCACCATGTGGATGCTGGACACAAGGAAAAGGGGCAGACCTGGGGGCCAGAGGCGTGAGGAACAGCCTGATACGGAAGTCCTGCACTCCCATATCCACGGTGACGTCTGGGCCTGTGTTGCCGCTGAGGGCCATGTCTGAGTCTGTGGCCCTGCTGCAGCCTGTGTTGATGTTGATGTAACAAGTTCTATGTTACCATCAAAGGCCATCTGGATATCTGAAGTCATGGTGACATCTCAGGGCCTTGCTGAGCTGGCCCTGCCTCTTTCCTGGGCAGGGAGGAAGACCTGGCACCAGTGGCATGGGTCCAGGAGGGCTAGGAGGTGACCAGCTCAGCTACCCCCCAGGCTTTGAGTTGGCTTACCCCAATATCTATTCCATCTTTGAGGTGCTGGAACTTGTGTAGGGGCTGGTCCTGTGGAACCATAGCTGTAGGATCTCCATGACTCTAGGCAACAGCAGAACAACCAAGAGGAGTCTTGGTGAGTGTCCAGTATTGATGGTGTAGCAGAAGCCAGAGACCTTGAACCAGACCAACAACTCACTGCAATGAACATTTGTAACTAAAGACGTTTGGGCTGAAGGGTATCCTGGGTGACACCGCAGCGTCCAAGGCCACTACAACCACTACAACTAACAGATATGTGATGGAAAAGTGAGAAAGGCAGAGGAGCACAGTGGTACCCGGCAGAGCTAGAGACACGACTGCTGCCATGTCAGAGAAGGCTGCGGCTGCTGGGGGCTCACGGCACACCCAGAGGGGTCGGCAAGATGCTTTTTTTTTAATCTTTATTTTCCTTGGGGGGATTTACAAGAGAGGAGGGCGGATATGGAAAGACTTGGAAATAAATGGGATTGGTGTCCATGATGTAAAATTCTCAAAGAATCAATTAAAAAAAACTTTTTTTTTTTATAAAAAGCACATAACTGTAACTCAGAATTTGAGAAGTAGGAGGATTTCAATTTTGAGGCAAGCCTAGGATACATATTGAGACCCTAGGAGGCCCCGCATTAAAAGAACAAAAAAGGGCAAAATTGGAGAGGCAGAGTTATCATAGGACTGAAGTAAACTGACTGGCGTGGTGGCGCTTTAATCCCAGCACTTGGGGGACAAAGGCAGGTGAATCCCTGTTAGTTTGAAGAAAGGAAGGAAGGAGAGGAAGGAAGGAAGGAAGGAAGGGAAAGAAAAGAAAAAAAGAGAAAGAAAACTTGACTTTGAGATTCCAGAGACAATAGTCATTTGAGCCTGCTGGAGTTTATGTGCCCCACATTTGTACAGGAGTCAGTGGAGGCCAGAAGAGGGTATTGGGTGCCCTGGAACTGAGTTACAGGTGCTTGTGAGCCGCCATGTGGGTGCTGAGACCTAAACCCAGCACACACACTTGGAGCCATCTCTCTAGCCTCAAATGTCTTAAATAGGGATAAAAATCAGAGCCAAGCAGTGGAGACAAATGCCATTCATCCCAGCACTCAGAGGCAGGCAGATCTATGAGTCTGAGGCCAGCCTGGTCTACAAAGTGAGTTCCAGGAGAGCCAGGGCTACACAGAGAAACCCTGTTGTTATTTTTATTTAAATATTTATTTATCTATTATGTATACAATATTCTGTCTGTGTGTATGCCTGCAGGCCAGAAGAGGGCGTCAGACCCCATTACAGATGGTTGTGAGCCACCATGTGGTTGCTGGGAATTGAACTCAGGACCTTTGGAAGAGCAGGCAATGCTCTTAACCTCTGAGCCATCTCTCCAGCCCCGTTATTTGTTTTTTTTTATCAGATGCATGAAGACCTGAGTTCAAAACCCCAGTAGCTATGCAAAAAGCAAAAAGCATGGCTGCATAAGCTTTGTAACCCCAGACGTGGTGATAGAGATAAGTAGGTCCAGAGACTAGTCAAAATGTCAAGTTTCCAGTTCATTAGCAGACTGTCTCAAGGCTATAAGGAAGAGTAACAGGAAGACACCAGTGTCCTCTGGCCTCAGTATGCATGGGCACATGTGTCCATACATAAATGCTTCAACTAGAGGGCAGCAACAGGCTTGCAAGAGACTGGTTAATAGAGGGTTAATGCTAAGCAGGAATGGCAGTGGGTAACTTTGTGTACAGGAATGTGCACCTGTATTCATATGGAGTCCAAAGGAAGACATCAGATGTCTATCACTCTCTGCATTGTTCCTTAGAGGCAGGATCTTACTGAATCTGAAGCTTGCATTTCTGGAGTAGGCTGGAAGTCAGCAAGCCCCAGTGATCCTCTTGTGCCCACCTTATTCAGTGCTGGGACTGATCCTAGCTTTGTTTGTTTGTTTGATGTTTTTTTTCAAGACAGAATTTCTCTGTGTAGCTCTGGCTGTCCTGTAACTTGCTCTGTAGACCAGGCTGGCCTTGAATTCACAGAGATCCACCTAGTGCCTGGCTTTTTTTTTTTTTTTGTAGGTGCTGGGAATGAATTCCAGTCTTCATGTTTGCACAGCAAACAATCAACTCCTGAACCATCTCTCTAGACCCTTCAAGTGCATTAAGAATGAAAAATTGGGGTGGAAGAGACAGAACGTAGACACCAAGGCAGACATTTGATGTCTACCTTCAGGAAGTCTGAGAGAAGGAAATAGGTCAGTTTTGGATATGAGTTTGAGGTACAGAGAGAACACGTGTTCCTGTGATATTTAGTGAGCAAATAGATACTATCTTGAACTCCAATAAGTGTCTGGGGTGGAGCTGACACAAGGAGCCGTCAGCACAAGTGTAAAAACTGAAGCCTTGGGAGTGTGAGAGCCATAACAGAGGATGTGAAGGTCTGAGAAAATCAGGCTTGTGACAGAATTTTGGGGATGTGTTTACGGATGAATAGGTGGAGGGGTTGGGGAATATGGGTTGGTGGTAGAGTGCTGGCCTAGCATACAAAAGGCCCTGGGTTTAATCAGCGGTGAAAACAAAACTGAAAGGTGGGACATGCTGATGCTCCAGTGGAAGAATGACTAAAAGGATGGGAAGAAAACAAGAATATTCCCGAGTGTGGAGAGCAAGAATGCAGTTCAGGATCTTAGAATATGCTTCCATACCGTGCAGTCCTGTATACACACGTTTCTCATGCTGGGCTGCAAAGTCTAGAAGCGTAGGTACTCTACTAGCCTTGTTCATTAGTTTACCCTGGTTTATTCTGCATATTATCCAGCACCTGGTGGATAGTAAAAGATGGATAAGGGACCATAGGGGATACTCACCAGACTGGGTAAAGTGCTTTTTCTAATGCATGTGTTCTAAACTGCACTTCATCTTAAGCTTTGTGGCCAATGATGAATAAAAGGGGTTTGGAACTTGGGACCTTGGAAGTTCTGTAACTAAGACATGGAAGTAACAACAGCTAGTCAAGACAAAAAGAATGTTCCTTTCTTTCCCCTTCCAAGTTCTTAGTGAAGGGCCAAGCCCAGGATCCCAGACTTGTGTGACTAGGTAAACATTAAGGAGACTACCTTCACTTGGGTACCCTCCCTTCAGTGGCTCAAGGTGACTTCTCAGTAGCAAAGCTCCCCACTGCGCAAGTCTAGCATCATGGGGAAGGGAGACACCTCAGAAACAACAACAGTTACCCCAGCCTATCGCTCTGTCATGGAGGAGTATGGTTATGAGGTGGGCAAGGTCATTGGCCATGGCTCCTATGGAACAGTCTACGAGGCTTACTACACAAAGCAGAAGGTCATGGTGGCTGTCAAGATCATCTCAAAGAAGAAGGCCTCTGATGACTATCTTAACAAGTTCCTACCACGTGAGATACAGGTCAGAAAGGGAGCTGAAAGAGGGAACTGGGGCTTATTCATAAGCTACTTGAGGTATCTTAGGGGTATAACTATAGCAAAGGGGTGGAGCCGAAAGTCTGAGGTAGGGGAATCCTGTAATGTATATACACATACATACACATTTCCTTATGTACAAACATCAGTTAAAATGCAAAGTGGAATTTACCTGGACATCAGCTAATTCTGTTGCAAAGTTGTAAGTAGCAATGGGAGAGTAGAGGAAGGCCAGCACAGCTGGATTTGCCAGGTTTGACGGTTCCCTCTTTTGGGATCAGGTAATGAAAGTCTTACGGCACAAGTACCTCATCAACTTCTATCAGGCCATTGAGACCACATCCCGAGTATACATCATTTTAGAGCTGGCTCAAGGTGGTGATGTCCTCGAATGGATCCAACGATATGGGGCCTGCTCTGAGACCCTTGCTGGCAAGTGGTTCTCTCAGATGGCCTTGGGCATCGCTTACCTGCACAGCAAGGGCATCGTGCACCGGTGAGCATAGTCACTGGCCTGAGCTTGGGCTCTCAGGAGGGTTTTATGCATATTGCCGATTTTCTGTCCTTTTCTCTTGACTTCTCTCGATATCTAGGTCCATTTGTTCACCATATTGTAATCATCTGGTCAAGGACACTTGTATCCACTGTGTGAGAACACTTTATACACAGTGGTGAACTAGTGGTCCTCGGGTTCCAGGGTACCATCCTCTCTCCCTTTTGGGCTCTGTGGCTCTGTTCACAACTCCATGGCCCTGCAGCCTTTTTTTTTTTTTTTTTTTTTGAGATGGGGTTTCTCTGTGTAGCCCTTGCTGTCCTGGAACTCACTCTGTAGACCAGGTTGGTCTCAAACTCAGAGATTCGCCTGCCTTTGCCTCCCAAGTGTTGGGATTAAAGGCATGCATCATCACTGCCTGGCCCCTCTTTACTTCTCATAAACATCTTTCTCCCACTTCTCCTGTCCTCATCTCTAGTCTCTGGCCCCTTTCCTTTCAGCTCCCGGTCTAACATTCAGCCCTCTCCCCAGCCTGACCCCCAGCCTTTCTGCTGCTGGTAGGGACTTAAAGTTGGAGAACCTGTTGCTGGACAAGCGGGAGAATGTGAAGATATCGGACTTTGGTTTCGCCAAGATGGTGCCTTCTAGCCAGCCTGTGCGTAGTAGCTCTTCTTACCGCCAAATGAACGGCCTTTCCCACCTCAGCCAGACCTACTGTGGCAGCTTTGCTTATGCCTGCCCGGAGATCTTGCTGGGCTTGCCCTACAACCCTTTTCTGTCCGACACCTGGAGCATGGGCGTCATCCTCTACACTCTAGTGGTTGCACATCTGCCCTTTGATGACACCAACCTCAAGAAGCTGCTGAGAGAGACCCAGAAGGAGGTCGCATTCCCATCTAGCATCAACATCTCCCAGGAGTGCAAGGTGCTGGCTCCCCCAGGAGGGCTGAGGCCTTAAGGATGGTCCATGGGGAGGGGAAATAAATACCAAATTTAGACTTCCCAACTCCCCCACCCTGGGGTGGCAGGGGAGGGATGCTTTTCTCATGCTAGAGCCATCTCTAGTTCCTACCAAAAATGGTGGGGAGGACTTAAGGGGGCCAACCACTGAACTTCAAACCTTGAATATGCTTAATAAGTAGGTTTCAGCGTTGATCGCTGTAGGGCAGAAGAGATCATGCAAGAAGCGCTTATCTTCTCTTCTTTTCTCTTGCATGGCTCCAGCATAAAACAAGGGCCCCAGCCCCTTTTACCAGGATAGGGTGATGGGCTATGCTGCTTCTTTCTTAGGCCCAGCGGCTCACTGCCTGTGTGGCCCAAAGGGGGGCACGCTCAGTCAAGCCCTCTCTCTCCCCTGCCCTAGAACCTGATCTTCCAGATGCTACGCCAAGCTACCAAGCGTGCCACCATCCTAGATGTCCTCAAGGACCCCTGGATGCTCAAGTTCCAGTCTGAGCAACCCACGAATGAAATCAAGCTGCTCGAGGCGATGACTCAGCCCGTCAGCAACACCAATCGCCACCAATCCTTGGAAATCACAGCTTGAAAATGGCTGAGGTGGGGGCTAAGGAGAAAAGCTGGAGGGTCTTGGGGGGAAATCTTTTATATAAAAATAAATCTAATTAGTTTCATCGTGTAGGGTCAAAGGCATTCCTTCCTCAACAGTCTTAGTGGAGAACACACCAAGGGTGAATTTCTGCCCAAAGCCTGGAACCTGTGCCCTTGACACATGGAAAGTGAATGGAATTGACTTGGGGAAACTTTGCAATGTCAGCTAAGCCTCTGGCTCTTATTTCACATTTTGTTCTCTAATGTTCCCGCAGCAGATGGGACAAAGAGGGAAAAGCCTTTATTGCTCTGTTTGACTCTGGCTCTGCCCATTTACAATCAAAAGCTATAGCACTGTTCTTTCAGTTTTGTGTTTGCTCCCAACTTGGGTAAAAGTTTCAATTGCTGAGAAGTCAACAAGGAAAGGACAGGCCTGACTCTAGATGCTCGCACTGCCTGCCACGTGCCACAGAAAAAACAGCAGGGCTTACTTAGTGTCTCGGCGCCCTTTTCCTCCGGGATCACTTTATCAAGTACGGAGAGAAGGCCAGGGACCCAGGGCTCCTAGACCCTGAAGTCACAGAGGTCAAGCGAAGCCTTGTGGACTGTGAGTTCCAGATAAAGGAAAGCTACTTGCCCCTGCAGAAGACAAATGAGGCTATCTTGTTAGAGGCATGACTGAGCCAAGGCAATGGGAAAGACTCAGATTCGCTCCTCATAATCTCATTTCCTCTCTTCTCCTCTCCCTTCCTCCCCTTCTTTCCTCCTTCAAGTATCCTAGAACTCCCTCTGTGGCTCAGACTAGCCTTTAAACTCATGATCCTCCCGCCATAGCCTCCAGAGTGCTGGGATTACAGGTATGTCCTACCATGTCTGGCTATCAACATGTTTCTAAGATAATTTTCCCCTCTTCCCACTTATTGATTGATTGATTGATACACTGGGCATACCCTGGCTGTGCAGCCCTGGCTGGTCTGAACTCAGAGAGAATTGCCTGCCATTGCCTCCTTGGGTGTGGAGGTTAAAAGCATGGGCCCCACACCTGGTGCTGATGGCAATTTCGTAACCTTAGACACTAGGCAACTCCATGATAAATCAAACTGAAAGGTAAAATTGCCCAGAACAGAGTCTGAGATATTGGAAATGGCCATTTGTTTCCCCAGGTCCCCTTCATTCCTCATTATGTTTCACTACTTAAAACAAGGCTCGGAGAACCAGGAGGAAGAACCTCAAGAGTAGACAAGACATACAGACACTAGGGATCCACCTACCCAGTTTTGCTGGAGACAAAAATCAGTCTTCTGCTAACCAAAAGGGAGGGAGTTCAGGGGTTCTTCCTGCAGCAAGATCCTTTTTCAAAGTTCAGCCAGAGAGGTGAGAACAGAGGGCCCTTCTCAGACAGCAGCCACACTGCCACTGCAGCAGGGAATTCCAAAGCTGTGCTCCCTTAGCTCTCAGAGTTTGCACTTGCAGAAGACAGACTCTTAGGACATCCAGCCTGCCGACTGCTTTAGTGCAAAGTTTGTCTTCACCTTTTCTGGAAGCTTTGCGGGGAGGATATCCAGAAAAGAGAAGTATTAAAGCCTTAAAACCTCCGTCATGGCCAGGCGGTGGTGATGCATGCCTTTAATCCCAGCACTCAGGAGGCAGAGGCAGGCGGATCTCAGTGAGTTCAAGGCCAGCCTGGTCTACAAGAGCTAGTTCCAGGATAGCCAGGACTGTTACACAGAGAAATCCTGTCTCAAAAAACAAACGAAAACCTCTCCAGTCAGATCCTACTCTGACACCTACATAGAGTCTGCTGAATTGTCTCTCTCCAGCAAACGAACGAACAGATGAACCCCCAAACCTAAAGATGTGCTCCTCATGCCTGATGATGTTCATTCCCACAGCACCCCAGAACCAAGGAGGAAAACAGGCCTATCACTTGCATTTGCATCCCTAAATGAGGATACACAACTTGCTGAGGGGTGCACAGTCTGGATTCTGGGCTTCCACCCCCACTCTCTTTCAGTCAGATGCTGTAATGCAGTCAGCAGTCTGTATAACTTAGCAGCAGCTTGGTGAAGCAGATAATACAGGCAGTAATGGTAATGCAATAACCTTACCTCTCCTATCTTTCACCCTCTCACGTCTTTAACACAGAGTTCTGGGTACCTGGCCCTGCAAGCAGATGTGTGTAAGGTACACCAGACAATATGACCGGGGGTTCTTCCTCCTTGTTGCCCATAGTTAACAACTTCTGAGTTAATTTCTCTTGCTCCAGTTCCTCCAGATCTTGCAGCAAATTCATCCTGGACACAGGATGACAAGATTGGTGAAGACAAAGAAAACAGCTAGTTGCCAATGACTCACTTTTGAGTTTCCCTCCTAAAGTTGTTACAGGAGTGTCTCTTGAGTTTCCTTCTAAGCAGTCCTGTGCTTTTTCTAATATTCTCTTACTCCTCACCCTGGTCACCTCATCCACACCATCTCCAAAACCCTAGAGCAAGGAATGGCATCTGATACCTGCTGGGCCAGCTCCTGTTGTTCTGTGATGTCAGCCACAAGTTCCTCTACCTTATCAGTGTCACTAAGAACAAGACACACTGCCAAGGAATCAGGGAGGCACCCTCCCTCCAAGTCCCCCCAAGCCCTTAGCCACCATTGGCTTTCTCGTCTCACACAAATGAAGGTTTCCATCATATGGCTTCACACTGGATTTTATGAGATTTTTTTATGTGAAGATTTTATAAAAAGGAATGAGTTTTTCTTGCCCAGAATGCCCTGGTCAGCATGAAGAAAGCAAGGAGGTAGTCTAATCATCAAAAACATGATGCACATTCTGTCTGAGAAGCTTTAGAAATCCAAAGTAAGGGCTGGAGAGAAGGCTCGGTTAAGAGGACACAAGTTTGATTCCTAGCACCCACATGAGGCAGCTCACAACTGTTTGTTAACTCCAGCTCCAAGGGATCCAATACCTTCCTCTGGTTTCTGTGGACACCCCCCCCCCACACACACACACACACTGCATAAACACATACAAACATAACATATATCAAATAAAAAGGAATGTTTAAAAAAAGCCAAAACCCTCAGTGGTGAGGACTGGCCTTGACAAAATCACACCTCTTACCAGGGTAGGGCCATGGGAATTTTAGAAATATAAGTAAAGAATACGAAGATGCATAAAAATAAGACAGAAACCATAGAACAGTATGGGGAGGGTATTCCAGTGATTACTGAAATCCTGAAATCACCCATGTTTATTTTTCCACAACTTTTATACCCAACATAAATGGGGGGGGGGGAGAAGGTAACAGAAGACTTTATTAACATGATACGGGGGATAACTCACAGTCAGTTGCCTGATCACTCTGAGACATCAAATCATCAGCATTTTGTTGTCTAGGTAGTTAAACTGCTCTAGATCACTAATGCCGAAGGCCGCCCCTCCCCAGGTGACCTCATAGTTACAAAGAAGGAGCAGAAAGTACGTTTGTACACCTCAGAAGACAGAGAAGCAGGCAGATCCACGTCAGTTTGAGGTCGGACTGGACTACATAGGAAGTTCTAGGACAGCCAGGGCTACACAGTCCTTGTCTCAACAAACAAACAAAACCAAAACAACCACCCCCCCCTCCACAAAACAAAACCAAAAAGAAAAGAAAGTCTTGCAAAGGACTCAGTGCTTCCCAGCACCCACATCTGGAAACTCGCACCCACCTGTCACTCAGCTCCAGGGGCCCCGATACCCTCTTCTGGTCTCCGTGGGCACCTGCACTCATGGGCATATCCCCCCCCCCCCAATCCTAAAAATAAGTTCAAAGTATTGACCCAAGCCACCCTTCCCAGTGCCTGGGGCCCTTATGTTTCTTCCCCATCCCCGCACTTCCTGGCAGACTTTCTTCATGCCTTGGGCAGCGAGATCCATGGTACAAAGCACTTCTGCCTTGGTGGTGGCATTCTCAATGGCCACTGGCTGAACCTCCAGGATGGATAATGTCCCGTGAGTTTGTGCCAGCTTCTGTTCTAACCTTTTCTTTCTCCATAGAGCCTGCAGGGTGACTGATCCAGCCCACAGGGTCAGAAGCATCTGCTTACTGCTGGGCCCTCCCCAGCAGCCCTTTTCCCCCTTACTTTGCTTACTCTTGGTCTCATACATTTTGGCTACGTGTAGCTCCTATTGAACTTCTGCTTCAGAAATTCCTGTTTGATCAGAATTTCTTCTGTCTCTTTTAGTTTCTATATTGCTTCTTCGGGAGTTAGATTCCTCTCTTCCCTCAAGAGTCCAGTGGTGCAGACCCATATTGTGTGAAGAAAGTATTGGCTACCAAACAGAGAGGGACACAGTATATGCTAGGCATCACCGTAACTGCTCATCTATAAATGACTCTCTATAATGAATGTATCAGTATCACTCGACAAATAAGAAAACCAGCACAAAGATGTATGTGGGTTTCGTCTGAAGTCTTAACTGGAGCTGGAGTAGATTAAGTAGTAATCAAAACATTGTGCTGGGTATGGTGGAACACACGTATAACCCCAACACTTCGGAGGCTGAGGCAGGAGGATTGCTGCAAGCTTGAGGCCAGCCTGAACTATGCTTGTGTTCAGGTCAGCCAAGGCAAAACCCTGTCTCAAAGCCCATGTTCTTTACTTTTTCTAAGCTTTGAGTCACACTTTCTGGTCATTGTCCCCCTCACTGTCTGAGGAGAGGTCAAAGGTCCTGCTCTAGCTGCCTGCTCACACTAAAGGGGTGCAAGAAAGCGAATGTGGCTTCAGTTTCTTCCTCCATCTTCTATATTTGAAGGATGATCTTTGCAAATAAAAGCCTAGTGGCCTCTGCCTGCTTAAAGCCCTCCCATACTCTCTTCATTGCCTACAGGATAAAGATCAAAAAGTTCTTCTGGAATACACAAGGGCATTGATCTGTTCACCCGTCCATCAGTGCTTCTACACCCTGTCCTTTCCATACCCCCACACCCCACAAACCCAATAAGGCCGGAAATTCTATTTTCGCTAAACTATTGTCCTCCTGCTTCTGTTTCTTGAAGGCTCCTTCCCAGAGTTACCTCAGCGCTACACCCGGCAAACAGGACACTGTGTCCAGCGCCTATTCTATGCTGTCTCGGTTTGTCAGGGTCATCTCCATCAGCGAGCTGCCACATTATATTGCCAATCACCACTTCTTTTTCTTTTCTTTTCTTTTTTCTTTTCTTTCTTTCTTTCTTTCTTTCTTTCTTTTTTCTTTTTTTTTTTTTTTTTTTTGGTTTTTTGAGACAGCGTTTCTCTGTAGCTTTGGAGCCTGTCCTGGAACTAGATCTTATAGACCAGGCTGGTCTTGAACTCACAGAGATCCGCCTGCCTCTGCCTCCCGAGTGCTGGGATTAAAGGTGTGCACCACCACCCAGCACCAATCACTTTTTCTGGGCATAGCTTTGCCATCAGATATGAGCTTAAAGAAGGTCGTCTTCTTCACTTCATACTTCTTTTACACGTAAGCTACAACATTTTGGGAAAGACTGGATATAGTCATCTGGAAACCAATTCCTCCAAGCCTGTGCCTGGGGAACTAACCATTGCCACACCGACTGCTCACATCCCCATTCAGTCCCGTTCAAGGCAGCCTGAGGCAAGGCAGTTGGACAAGGTTGGCCTTCTGGCACCAAAGAATACCGATCTTGGTTAAGGACCCGGTTTTCTGGCTGGCCTGTCCTCTTAAAGCAGCTGCATTACTCTCTACTACCAAAAAAGGCTGGCCACAATCTTATTCCCATATAGTAATAGCTTCTACTCCCTACAAGGATGCACACAGCATCCTTGTGAATTCATGTGAAGCAGCAGGAGACGGAAGACGTTGGAAGGGGACTTGGGATGGGTTCCAACATGAGGGAACAACCTGATGCAGGCTAATCTTTCACACTCTGGTCCCAACACTCCAGCACCATCAAACCCAGTTTCCACATTCGAAAAATGGAAAGAACCACCTGTGTGTAAACCCATGACTCACACTCGGACACTTTAATACATTGCAAATGCACCTAACAAGGCTTTCTTGATTTCGGTTTTACACCTCAGATGAGGCTTAGCCCCGGGGTTGGATGTCAGGGTCTAGCCTGGGCCTTTGCGAATGTCTCTAATCCTTGAGTTAGTGTTTGCAAACTCATTCCATTCTGGATGTGAACGCAGGTAACACCTAGAACAAAAAGAAGTCACATTTTGCCAGCTTTCAAGCCTCCTCGTTATAGCTCTCATCTGCCGTCCATGATCCACCCTGCACTTACTTTTCCTACGTCCTCCTAAGAACCCCTTCCTCACCCCCCCAGTGGTGACTCAGTACCCAGTTTGCCCACATCTATGATATTCCGCTTCTCGTCATCAAAGAAGACCATCTGAGAGAAAGGAACTCCAGTCTTATGGTGCAACCTGTAAAAGACAGAGCAGGGGCGACCCGGCCGGTGAGTTGGCTCACCTGACCTCTCGGGTCCACCTCCTGCTCCCACCGTTAGCTGTCTGCCTACCTTTCAAAGTGTGTGACTTTGCTACCTGGATAGATTTCCCGATGAACAAAATATTTGACGAGGCCAAAGAGCTCCAGGAGTTGGTTGGCGCCTTCCGTCTCACCTGTCCTGGAAAAAACAAAAAACAAAAACAAAAAGAAAAACAAACAAACAAACAAACAAAAACCAATGAGTGGCATTAGGAGAATGCTGTTACGCCCAAATCCGTGGGTCCCCACAAAAGCCAACAAAGGAAACCGAGTCCCATATGTAAAAGCAAAGAGCCTTTACTTTAATCAAGTTTGCACACTTGGTCTCTCAAACTTGAATTGAATTTTTATAGTAGTAAAGGTGGGGTGTGTGTGTGAGAGGTCTCTGAGGTTCAGGACTCCTGATTGGCTGACATTTGTCTAGGGGTGTCCTGGTGAAGTGCTGGCAGGTGTTTCTATTTCCAGGCTTTGGAATGCCAGGAATTTCCTTTGAGTGGTCTGCTCTTGGGTGGGGGTCTGGTAATCTCGGTCTGCCAGGCATTGTGTCAGGGTAAACTATTGAGACTCCAGACTCCATTTAAATTTATTGGCCAGGGTCCCAGGTGATAATGGTTGGAAGTAAAGAAATTTCCTTTTGATGACCTTCCCAGACTTAGCTTATCATGGCTGGCTCTCACAAGTGCCAGGGATGTGGGTAAAATTAGGTATATGGGGGTAGGGGGACCGATTTGCTCACTGTTATTCATACCAGAGATTCTGAAATAGCTGGCACTGAGCCAACATTTACTCATTTGAAAGAACAGAAAGCAGTCTGGAGAGATGGCTCAGCAGTTAAGAGCACTGGTTGCTCTTTCAGAGGACCCAGGTTCAATTCCCATCACCCACATGGCAGTTCACAACTCTCTGTAACTACAGCCCCAGGGAACTTGACACACTCACCAATGCACATACAATAAAAATTAAAAAAACAAAAAACCTTTCTGCCAATCAGTGGTGGTGCACGCCTTTAATTCCAGCACTCCAGAGGCAAAGGCAGGAGGATCTCTGTGAGTTCGAGGTCAGCCTGGTCTACAATAGCTAGTTCCAGGACAGGCTCCACAGCTACAGTGAAATCCTGTCTCGAAAAAAACCAAAAAAACCACCACCACAACAAAAACCAAAAAACCAGAAAGCATAGGATAGCAAAGCAACAAAATATTTGTACGTTTGCACCGCCTAACTTTTAGTGCCTCGTGCCTCGGGAGTTATATGCAATTTCCTCATGCGTGGAGATGCGTCAGCAAGACTGTCACTTTTCTTACCGTGAAGCAGCGGCCACTGGCACTCCAAGGTTCTGCAACCTTTCCAAGACTTCCGGTACCTCCGGGTACAGTCGGATGTTCTGGCCCCGCCTATCTCGTACAGTTCCATCGCTGGAGAGAGTGACACACGCTCAGTTCCCGCAAAGTCCCTCCTGGCCCCATACCTCCCTCTTGTCTCACCTGCTCTTGTGGAACGGGGGGTCTACGTGTGTATCAACCCAGAAAGGCCAGAGCGTGTAATCTGCGAGAGGAAAGAGAAAGAAGGTTCAACCTGGAGGAGCGCAGACACTTAGCCAAAGCCAGGAGTGGGCAAGGGAAGCGCCGTACGAAACTCCTGTTACTCACCTAGATCAAAAACCGCAAGCTTTGGCAGCGGCGTCATAATCCACCTGAAAACTCAAACTCAGCACCGAAAGCACCCCAACTCTATGGTGGCCAAGTAGGCTGTGGGCGCGCCACAGAGAACCCGCGACGCTCCAGTGACTAGAGCGTCGCCGTCCGACAGCGCAAGAGCGCCTTCGGAGGCCCTGTGGGGAGATTACCTGCAGCTGGGGACGTCTCTCTCCAAGGCACTGGCCACTAGTATTTGGTGTCTTGTTTACACCACCCAACTCACCACTTTTCACTAGAGAAGTCACGGAAACCTTTTAGCACCTTTATCTTGGAATTGAGACCTTATCAGTTTATTATTTTGTGCTCATCTTGTCTTCCCATCAGCATCTTAATTGTATAAAAACTAGTCTTCAGCATAAAGAATATAGTGTCTGCACCCCGTAATGTGTGCCTGAACCTCAGCTACACGCAAGGCCTAAGGGAATTACTGGTACCTAGGAATTGAGATCGGCAGGGCAAGGAGGTGTGGAGGGTGTAGAACCCGAGAGGGTGGTCTCCAAGTCAGCAGGGCTGCTCAGGGAGAGCATTTCTTCCCTAGGTTTCTAGCAGCTTCATCAACAGTAGGCTGCTATTACCTTAAATACCGTGAAGAAAACGAAGCCTTGGGTTTTGTCTCTAAAAAGCTTCTAAAAAAATAAAACATGGTTTTATGTGATACTTTTTGTTGTTGAGTTCAGGGCTAGCCTTGAACTCCTGTCTCTACCTCCTAAATGTTGGGATTATAGGTATGTGTCACAATACCAGGCTTTCATGAGACACTTTATATTATAGCAGCACATGTCCATTTCAGTAAGCAGACATACATGTACCACAGGTATGTACAATGTGTAAATGTTCCATCATGGCTTCATTTTTCAAGATAGGGTCTCTCTCTGTAGCCCTGGTAGGTTCTGGAACTTGCTCTGTAGACAAGGCTGGCCTTGAACTCAGAAATCCACCCACCTCTGCCTCCCAAGTGCTAAGATTAGAGTATACCACCACCCAGCTTGCTCTGGAATTCTTGATTCTCATGTCTCAGCCTCCCAGGTGCTGGAATTACGGGCCTCAACCACCACAACTAGCTATTTGGAGGCAACACTTGGCACTCACAAGCTAGTGAAGAGTTGACTACAACAGAACACCGGGCAGGCTTTCCTAGTTTAATCCTTCTAAGGATGAGGGCCAAATACTACATGAGCTTGTTTCTCAGGTGGACTGCAAAAGCAGGCTAAACCGGCATTTAGAACTTTGAAGAATTAATTCCTCTGGGTTCAGTGTGTTCATCTATACATAGAGAGATGGCAACACCCCCATTCGGATCCTTTGGGATAATGGGGTAGAATGTTTTCCAGTTGAAAGGCTATGCTGAAGTCAGTTGATGGGGCATGCCTGTAATCCCACCTACTCAGGCAGCCTGGGATACGGTTCAGAATAAAGAATATGCCAGACTGATGGCATAGGCCTTCAATACTAACACTCTGAAGGCAGGCGGGGAATCCATGTGAGTTTGAGGCAAACAAGTGCTAGGACCCAGCTGGGAATACACAACTGTGTCCCCCACCCCCATTCTCAACACAGCACCCTTCCACTGTCCTGCCTACCATTGTGTCCATTTCTATTTCAGTCATGTGCGTCAAGAAGAAAGAATCCAGGAGGCCAGGAAATATTTTATTGACAACCAAGGAATAGCCGGAAGAGAGGGAAGCACACAGGACTGCAAACTACAACCCAACAGCCAGTAATGGTCATTTGGGCCAGGAGCACTGCACCCTGGGGTCCTCACATTCTCCCACCAGTAGACACACAAGACTGGGCATCCAAGGGAGGGGGCAGAAGTTCTGGTGTCCCAGAGCGTGAGAGGATATGTGATGCTTCATTATGAGCGACAGGGCAAGGAGGTAAAATGGAACCAAGGTTCATCATTGCCCAAGACCACCTCCTCCTCTAAGAGCCAACACCAGGTGGAGGACTGAACCACCTAGGATCTTGTAATCAGCTGCTGTCTTCTCATCATTCCTACGGAAAGAAAAAGCATTAAAAATGCCATCTAGAACAGGCATCTGTAACATGGGCTTGGGGATCTCTTTGGGGGGGGTCTGTGAAATTGGGTGAGAAAAATATTCCTTTATTTTTATTAGCTCCTAGCTATAGTTAGTATTTAATATGAACATAAACAAAGAGACCCATGGTGTTAACAATATGGTAACTTACACAACAGAAATTAAATATTTCTAAATTACATTATAACTGTTTGTAGGTATCTTGAAAAATTAAAAAAAAAAGAAGCAACTATCAGACCCATTATTTGACCTTACAATAAGATATTAATAAAGAGGGCTGGAAAGATAGCTCAGCAGTTAAAAGTTCAAACTGTTCTTGCAGAAGACCTACATTGGGATTTCAGTACCCATTTCAAGAGGCTCACAATCTTGTGTAACTACAGTTTCAGGGGGGATCTGATAGCTGTAGGCACCTGCACTCACATGCAGACCTATAAATACACACATAACTATACACAATAAAATTTAAAAATACACTAATAAAGCACATATATTACTACTCTACAAATTTGCTTTAGTAGGTTGATAACTGTTTCAACATTAGTTTATAATTCAATATATGCTATCCTATGTCTGGCATATTATATTCTGTGATTTCTCTTATTCTGGGAAGATTCCATAGGCTCCACCGAACTGTCAAAGAGCTGAAAGCAGGGACACACTGAAGTAGTGGCAGGCCTCTGCACCTCTAGCCTTGCCACCTTGTCTTCACACAGGGCTGCTATACCCCACTGCACCCAGACTTACATTTGTTTGCCACTGTAGATGAGCCTCTGCTGCTGTGGGGGGATGCCCTCTTTCTCTTCCACACGCTCCTTGATTCGCTCCACCTAGAGAGGAACAAGAGGCCAGAGGCTGCTTAGAATTATAGAAATAGTAAGAACAAGGCTGTGTGGACACCATGAGAACTAAAGGCCCAAGGTCATAGCACACACAGACGTAAAGAAGGGAGGGCGACATGCTGAGCATACATCACCTTGTCTGTGGGCTCAATGTCGATCTCAATCTCCTTTCCAGTCAGCGTCTAAAACAGACAAAGATTCATAAATCCCACAGCCCAAATCAATTGTCTTCTGTGGTGGAATGAGAATGGCCCCCAGGCTCATGTGTGACTGCTTGGTCCAGAGTTAATGGGAAGGACTAGGAGGGTGGCCTTGTTGGAGAAGGTGGGCTTTGAAGTTTTCAAAAGCTCAAGCCATTTCCAGTTAGCGCTCTCTCTCTCTCTCTCTCTCTCTCTCTCTCTCTGCCTCACACTTGTGGACTGAGGTGAACTCTCAGCTTCTATTACAGAATGCCTGACTGTCTGATGCCATGCTTCCTGCCATAATGGTCATGGGCTCACCCTGTGAAACTGTAAGCCCCAGATTAAATGCTATCCTTTATAAGGTGTATTGGTGTGGTTGTTTGAATATAAGTGGCCCCCCATAAGGTAATAGAGAGTGGCACTATCAGGAGGTGTGGTCTTGTTGGAGGAAGTGTGTCACTGTAGAGGTGGGTTTTGAGGGCTCATATGTGCTCAAGCCACGCCCAGTATCTCAGATCACTTCCCGTTGCCTGTAGATCAAGATATGTTAATTTTCAGCTCCTTCTCCAGCACCATGTCTGCCTGCATGCTACCATGTCCTGCCATGATGATAATGGATGTAGTTTCTCTGAAACTACAAGTCATTTAATTAGATGTTTTACCTAATAAGAGTTGCTGTGGTCATGGTGTCTCTTCACAGAAACCAAAACCCTAACTAAGACAGTTGGTCAAGCACACACCTATTATCCCAGCACTCCAGAGTATGGAAGCTAATAAATTTGAGGCCAGTCTGGGACACATAGTAGATGCTATCTCAGAAACACAGAATTAGTGCTGGAGATGTAGCTTGGCTGGTAGAGTGCTCGTCTATGAAACCCTGGGCTCAGGCACGTAAACTGTAGAAACTGGACGCAGTAGTGCACAACCTGTAATCCAAACACCTGGGAGGTAGAGACAGGAAGATAAAGGAGCTCAAGATGCTGGCTATATATAATCTAGCCTGAGATAAGTGAGATCCCATCTTAATAAGATAAAGAAATTAAATACAACAATCCCTCATATGACAAAGTGAGGTTTGTAATTGTGTTGTCCATAATTCATTTTGTTTTATTTACCTTAATACTTCAAATGCAAAGACTTTTCATTTCTAGGTCATTAACTTAGAAAAAGCTGGCCTTTTCCCCATACCTTTAATTCCAGCACTTGGGAGACGGATGCAAGCAGATCTCTGAGTTGGAGGGTAGCCTGGTCTACAGAGTGAGTTGAAAGACAGCTAGGGCTACACAGAGGAACATTGTCTTGACCCCCTCCACAGGAAAACCTTAGAAAAAGCCACCTTAAGAGCTAGAGACAGCACAGTAGTTAACAGTGCTCACCATACAAGCCTAGTGGTCTGACTCTAATCTCTGCAACCCTTGTAAAGGTGAGAAGAGAGCTCCAATTCAACAAAGCCATCTTTGACCTCCACATACCCCCATGGCATAATGCAGCCACACTTAACACCCCCCCCACACACCTCAAAAATAAAAAAAAAAAAAATTCCGGGGCTGGAGAGATGGCTCAGTGGTTAAGAGCATTAACTATTTTTCCAGAGGACCTGGGTTCAATTCATTCCCAACACCCACTTGCCAGCTCACAACTGCCTGTAACTCCAGTTCCAGGGGACCCAACACCAATGGCAAAACACCATATACACATAAAATAAAAGTAAATAAATAAAAATTTTAAAAAGTAAAATACAGAATATTTTATAAGCCAGGTGGTGATGCACAGCTTTAATCCCTGTACTTGGGAGGCAGAGGCAGGTGGATCTCTATGAGTTTGAGACCAGCCTGGTCTACAGAGCAAGTTCCAGGACAGCCAGGGCTGTTACAGAGAAACCCTGTCTTGAAAACCAAAACAAAACCAACAAGCAAACAAAAAGAAGTGCTCCAGATGCCTGGCTGATTGACAGGGTTAACATATGCTCAAGGTAATGGAAAGATGACTTATGATAGGAGGGTGCATTTGATTTTAGGACCATGGAAATCAGGTAACAGATTTCACTCAGAAATGGTCCGGGCCAGGGATTTAGCTAGCATACACAATGCCCTATCCTATCTCAAACAAATAAAAGCAGGAAGGACTTAATTGTGAAGGAGAAAGGCGTACATAAAGTTAGACAAGATATCAGCAATATAGAGAAACAGTTGAAAAATGAGTAATCTACAAAGAACCTTGTTTAAAAACTCTAAGTTCTACAGAAGCAGTTAAATATTTCATATACTTAATATATAAAGAAAGAGCAAACAAAGAGATGGAGGGCAGAGGGATTAATATTAGACAGAAGAAGGGCTAAAGAGATGGCTTAATGGTCAAGAGTACTTTTTTAGGGGACCTGGATTTGGTTCCCAGAGCCCACATGGTAGCTCACAGCCACCTGCAACTTCAGTTCCAGGGAATCCAGTGTCCTTTTCTGGCCTCCTTGGAATCAGGCACACAATTGGTGAACAAACATAGAGGCTGGCAAAGTACCCATATACATAGTAAAAAATAAAGAAAAACATAGGCAGATGTTGCAGACAAGGAGAATGGTAAATACTGAGTAAAAACTGAGGATGGTGATGCACGCCTATAACCCTAGCCCTCGGAGGTTGAGGCAGGAAGAACTGAATTGGGGATCAGCCTGGGAGGGGCTACCAACACACTGGCTCAGCCAGCATTAGGAGCCTGAGACTGGAGGATCTTCACAAGTTTGAGACCAGTCGAGGCTACAGCAGCAGGTACAAAAACCAAAGTGATGAAACACACCCCACTGCCAGTGCAGCTCTCCTGAGCAAGGGCTATCATTTTAGCAACGCCCTTAGGTGATTCTTTCTGTCCATAAGTCTGAGAAGTCTACCTGGAACACAGTATTTTAAACTGTAGATCTCACCCCAAAAACAGTTAACAAAAACAACTTAAAATGGTTTGCCAACATCAGAGCATATCAAATAGTAAGCTCCATGGGTCATGAGGTAAAGTCTCTCAGTATAGGGCTTTTTTTTTTAATATTTTATTTATTATGTATAAAATATTCTGTCTGTGTGCATGCCTGCAGGCCAGAAGAGGGCGCCAGATCTCATTACAGATGGTTGTGAGCCACCATGTGGTTGCTGGGGATTGAACTCATTGTGGTTGCTTGGAAGAGCAGGCAGTGCTCTTAACTGCTGAGCCATATCTCCAGCCCCAGTATAGGGCTTTTTTAATTTTTAAAAAAGATTTATCTTTATTTTATGTGTATTGATGCTTTGCTTGCATACGTCTGTGCAGGATGCGTATGCAGTGCCTGTCCAGGCCAGAAGAGGGTGTGGGATCCCCTGGAGCTGGAGCTACGGTTGTCAGCTGCTGTGTGAGGGCTGGGAATCGAAGCCAGGTCCTAAGGAAGAGCAGTCTTAACTACTGAGCCAAATTTCCAGGCCTAAACTGTTTTAATTGTTAAAAAAAAACAAAACAAAAAAACCCCACAACATAAGTAGGAGAATAGCCTCCCCTTCGGAGCAGGAGGTGATGGAAGCGCAAAGCCTTCTCCTTTCACAGCAAGCCACGCTAAGGAACACATACAACGGGGCGGAGGAGGTGGTACAACAGAGAAGTGCACTTACTGCTCTCGCAAAGTACACGGTTCCATTCCCAGCACCCACATGGCAGCTCACAATCATCTGTAACTTCAGTTCTAGGGGACCCAGCACCCTATTCTGGATTCTTGGGGCACTGAACACACATAATACACTGACAAACATTCAGGCAAAACACCCTTACAGATAAAGTCCCCACCCCCAAATCCACACGAACTACTATCACACATCTAACAAAAACGAAAACAGTCACAAAACAATACCTTTACCCAAGAGTAAACCCACTTTCACTTTGCAAAACACAAACATATATATTTCCTAATTTTAGACTATTAGTTAATTTAGCACTCAGTTAGTTTAGCACTCAGATCCCGGCCTTCTCTTCCATCCGTTCTTTTCTTTCCTTCTCAGTTTTTGTTTGACACAGGGTCTCTAGATATTGCCACAAACTCCAGCCTGAACTTCCTGAGTACTGGAACTTCAGACACCAACCATCATTAACATTTCTCTTGTTATTGTTGTTGTTTGCTTTTTAAAACACGGTTTCTCTGGATAGCCCCGACTATCCAGAAGCTCACTCTGTAGACCAGGTTGGACTCACAGAGATCCGCCTGCCTCTGTCTCCCAAGCGCCAGAATTAAAGGTGTGCACCACCTGGCTAATAATTTCTATTTTTAAAACTTTTATTGAGCTCCACATTTTTCTCTGCTCCCTTCCCTGTATTTCCCCTCCCTTTCAACCCTCTCCCAAGGTCCCCATGCTCCAAATTTACTCAGGAGATCCTGTCTTTCTCTACTTCCCATAATTTCTATTTTGAAACTGGCTGCAGGAGGAGCTATTTGAGAGGAGGAAGGTATGGTCCATGGGAAATAAAAGGTAATGACGCATGACGATTATGAGCAAAGCACCATGATACACATACACATACACACACAAAAAAACCCTCACAATGAGACCTATCATTGTATGCACTAAAAACAACCAAAATAAAAAGTTTAAGACTCAAAGACCTATCAACACATAGATGACCAATCAATTTTTCAAAAATAGCACACATCAACCTGTTCTCTGGCTTCAATCCTTTTTTTTTTTTTTTAAAGACAGGGTTTTTCTGTCTAATAATCCTAGCTGTCCTGGAACTCGCTTTGTAGTCCAGGCTGGCCTCAAATTCATAGAGATCCGCCTGCCTCTGCCTCCCAAGAGCTGGAATTACAGAGTGATCAACCGGGCTGGCTTCAGCCCTTAATTTAAAAAGTTAGTGGAGGGACTGGAGAAAACCAAGTTAACAACAGCTGACATATACAGAAGTGAAGACAGGCTTACAAAGCTATTAAAAGCTCAAACTAATGCCCAGCTGCATCAGCTGTCAGTCTTGTGTCTGTCTAAACGAACAAAGGTAAAAACAGCAGAAAAGACTGGAAGGTTTAAAGTTGATGAACTAAGGGAGCTGAAGGAGACACAGTTCGAAGAACCAATGCGCCGAAAAGTAACCTGATGCAATCAAAGAAGTGAGGCTGGGTCTCATTGTTCAGCTCGTGCAAGGGGATGCCAAGTGGTCACCTCCTAGCGCAGTTACTGAAAGACAGGTGAGACACTAACCTTGGCAACCACGAGAAAAGGCTCATAGTTGCTAAGAGGCCCTCACTGTCCCCAGACTAATGCTTCAATACTGTGCATTAGGGTCCGGGGAAAGCATGCAACCTAGGTATGAAGAACGGGGAACAAAGCTTTTCTCAAAAATTCAGGAGTGAGGAGCCAAACTGCTGCCAGGCCTTCTCTGACTACAAGGGTTTGAATACAGTGAGACCAGGACAAACGCAGCCTCCTTTCAGGTTACAGCATAGACCTGGGAAGGATGTAGGGAAGGCAAACCCCCGAGGTCTTCAGGCGGGACGGGCCTCCAGTGCTCAAAGCCTCCCGGGGTCCCCCTAGTTCCCATCACGCCTCGCGCACGGCCCCGAGGGTGTCAACCCTCCAAGTTCAGGAGAGGCATGGTTTTTCCTTCCCCGCCTCTTCCCTAAGGCGCAGCGGCCAGCCCGGCACCACAGAGTCTTGGCAAGCCTGGAATGCTCCCACCTTCACTTTAATTAGCATCTTCCTCCCAGGTTGGGGCTGCAGGCGGCTATAGTGCTGCTTCTCCCGCTGTGGTCACCGCTGCCGCTTCCCAGCACGCCACGGCTAGGGACACTTCTGCTTCCGGGTCACTCTCCGGATCCACCCTCTCCTCTTTCCACCCGGCTTCCGAAAGGCTCAGGAATACCCTTGTGTTTCGAGTCAGTGGTGTTGTAGAGAAAAAGGCAAGCCGGCTTAGGAAAAGCACAGACGACGCCCTGAGACGCCACGCGGGCTCAGCTAGCTGGGGTTAGCGGCGAGCTGAAGCAGAACAAACTACTCTTCCCATCATGCCAGGAGGCAGCTCCGACCTTTGCATCCTAGGAGTTGTAGTCCTCCCGCCGCTCGCACCCAACGGCAACCTCAGTGTGTGGACTCTGTTACCCAGAAGGCCTTGCCCAGTTCCCGAAGCAGGAATTCCTTGGGTAGTCGGACTTGCAATTAGCGGAACTTGTTGGTGTTGCCCTGAAGGCTCATCGGAGCTGCACGCGGCTAGTTGCTAAGCAAAAGAATCTTTGGTCAACTGCCACCTGAGTCAAAGCAACAGGAAGTGAGTACCCCTGTGCCGGAAGCTGATTGAAATCTTTTTCCTTCCCGACTAAGTCAGTTTCTTACTCTAAATTGCCCTTTGCTGAGGCGGGAAAAAGATTAGCCGGGTAAGGACTGTACCTTCAGAGATCATGATCTCTTTCCTGTTCTCCCTAACAATAACTGGGATTGAAGTATTTGGGTAATCCAGACACTGGATGGTCCTAGTAAGACTTCAAGGACCACACCCTAACCTTTTACACAATTTAAGCATGAGTGGTGGCCCTTGTCCTAGCGTTATCAAGATTAAGGCCCATGAAGTTCCGTTCTTTACTTGTAACTTCCTAGGCTTACAGACCTCAAACTTTTATCGGTCTGCAGCCCTGCATCATGCCTCATATTGACAATGATGTGAAACTGGACTTTAAGGATGTCCTGTTGAGGCCCAAACGCAGCACCCTGAAGTCTCGAAGTGAGGTGAGCTAGCTATATTCTTGCTTTTTAAACCTCAGACTTGTTGGGGACCAGGACCAAGAAAACTGTCTAGTTTTAATGTGATACATATTTTATGGATGAATGAAATGCTTAATGTTCTGTTGATGTCTATAGGTAGATCTCACAAGGTCCTTCTTATTCCGGAACTCAAAGCAGATATACAATGGCATCCCCATTATTGCTGCCAATATGGATACCGTGGGGACTTTTGAAATGGCAAAGGTTCTTTGTAAGGTGAGACCAATCTTATGTACCATACCCAGTGTTACCCCAATAGACTGCAGAAGCATTGCTTTTCTACTCCCATTCTCTGACAACTGACAGAATCCTTGGGTTCACCAAATTTTCCCATTACCAAGAACCCTTTATCACTTCAAAGATCCATCTGAATTAGTGAGGCTCAGAATTTGATTTTGTTCCATTTTTTGCTTGTTTTTGTTTTTTTGAGACAGGGTTTCTGTGTAGCTTTATGAGACAGCCCTGGAACTCGCTTTGTAGACCAGGTTGGCTTTGAACCTACAAAGATCCACCTGCCCCTGCGTCCCAAGTGCTGAGATTAAAGGTGTGCACCATCACTGCCCTGCCCATTTTCTGATTTATAACCCCCCCAATAATATATATATATATATATACACACACACACACACACACCTTACCAAATTCTTCCAGCACCCACCCAGGTCAACCCAATCACACACATCAGTCTGCCATTGTTTTGAACATTGAGCATTCATTGTTTCGTCCAGAAACAAAATACTGTTTATATGTACAATGTCCCAGAAAAAGGCAGGAGAGATGGCTCAGCGGTTGAGAGCACTGACTGCTCTTCCAGAGGTCTTGAGTTCAATTCCTAGCAATCACATGGTGGTTCACAACCACCTATAATGAGATCTGGTGCCCTCATCTGGCCTACAGGGAGGATACAGCATAAATAAATCTTAAAAGAAAAAAAAATAATGTCCCAGAGAAAATGGTCTTATTAGTGTTCTTGTATGCCTATTATTCTTTTAATTTTCCCCTGCTTTAAGTCCTAGGTTCCTGGGAGTTTCTGAGATGTACCTCAAATGGATGTTTTTTCTTAAATACAGGTTGTTCCCTTTGAGAGTGGAAGACACTGCTCCTGTCAGTAATGTTGCTTGCTTCTGTGCATGTAGCTGAGAAGGTAGATAGTTGCCTGGGCACTTTTGAGAACATAATGTGCTTTGCTGGTAGCCCTTGTAGCCCTAGTTGATAGGTTGTTTCTGTTTGTGACTGTTAGCCTGAAGGACTTTCCGATTTTTCTGTCTTTGTAGATATTTGTTGTGTTTTTTCTGAGACTGATAATTATGGTGTTTTATTACTTTATTCATTCCGTTTACTAACTGTTAGGAATCCTGCTGTTGTCTATTGTCTGCCTTCTCTGACAGGTGGATTTGGGGGATGGTAAGTCTGTCAAAAGACATGCTGCAATATATGACTCTTCCTGGGGACTGGATTTCAGTACTGATGATAAGTGCCACAGAAACAAAAGTTTAGTCAGGCAGAGGTGGCACACACCTGTAATCCCAGCACTCAGTTGATTCTCTGTGACTTGGAAGCCAGTCTGGTCTACAAATCAAGTTCCAGGACATACAGGGAAACAGAGAAACCCTGTCTTGAAAAACCAAAAATAAAAAATCAAATTCTAGAAAAATAGCCAAGTCTCAGTAATAATAAAAAGGTTAGATACAAGCCAACTTTTTCTCAGGGTTGGTATGTGTTGGGTGTGTTTAATAGGTCAAATATCTCCAAGATCTGCTGACCACCTAGAGCTTTTGTTTGCAAACATGTTGACAGTTGAGTGTTACTGAGGAAGAATACCAGCTTTTAAGCACGTTGGCTGGCTGATACAGGACCACTTTGGGTTTCTCTGCACTTGCTGTCTGACCAACTCCTGACTCGTGTCTGGTTTCATGTTTGTGCTTTCAGAAAGCACGAACACCAGCATCCTGTGTTCCAAATGCCTTTCTCAGGGGATATTTGCAGTTTTATGAGCCAGAGGTTTTGAGCCTGCTGAGTCAGATTTTTGGTGGTGGTGTTTTGTTGTTTTTATGAGACAGGATTTCTCTGTAGCCCTAGCTGGTGAACTCTAAAGATCCACCTACCTCTGCTTGAGTGCTGGCATTAAAGGCGTGTGACACCACCACTCTGGGAGTCATTGTATTTTTTTAATTTACCAAGATAGATGAAATTGATCTTTGCATGTTTATGTTCCTAACATGAAAATCTGCCCTTACTCGGCAGAAAAGATAAAGAATGGAATAGTATTTTGTTTGCTCTACTGTCTTAAGCCTTTAGCTTTGTGTATATCTAGAGTTGGAGTACTGCTAGCAAGTAAACCAGAAGAGAGAAAAATACAGTCTTTTTAGTGCTAGATCACCTCAGTGCTAAGTGTACACAAACACTAGCTCCATCTAGCCTCTGTAATTCTTCCGTGCCTCCTACTTGTCCTGCTGTACCAGCAGCATGTCCCTGTCATTTTTTTAGGTCACAAGCAATGTCTGTGCTGACAAGTTTAATCCAACCCAGATCACAGTACTTTGATAGGAATGCTTGACAAGTACTAGTTTAGGGCAAAAAACTAGCCATGCCGGGGTTTGTAAGAACAGTGGTTCAATCAGCTCAGTGGTGAACTCCTTCACATTGCCTCTCAAATGCATCATTTCCTCTCCGGACAATATAGACAAGTCTACAAATAGTCAAGTTTTTGCCCTTCTGATGGTTCTTTCTCCTCCCCAGTTCTCCCTTTTCACTGCCGTCCATAAGCACTACAACGTCCACCAGTGGCAGGAGTTTGCTGGCCAGAACCCTGACTGTCTTGAGGTAACTCAGGGCCTGCCCTGCTCCCTCACCAGTTTCCTAGGAACCCTCTTTTGACTCTTTGGGAATAACCCCTACTGTCAGTTCCTACTGATTCCTTACCAGGCAGGTCACTTCTGACACAGTGCCACCAGGCTGATCTAATGCTTTCTCCACAGCATCTAGCCGCCAGCTCTGGCACAGCCTCTGCTGACTTTGAGCAGCTGGAACAGATCCTGGAAGCTATTCCCCAAGTGAAATACATATGCTTGGATGTGGCTAATGGCTACTCTGAACATTTTGTTGAATTTGTAAAGGATGTACGGAGGCGCTTCCCCCAACACACCATCATGGTATGTGTCCCTTGTCCCTCCCCCTACCCTTGACAAGGTTTCTCTATGTAGCCTTGGCTGCCCTGGAACTTACTCTGTAGACAAGGCTGGCCTCTGCCAGCCTGCCTTCCAAGTGCTGGGATTAAAAGCATGTGCCACCACACTCAGCTAGGCATGTTTCTAGTCTCCTCCTCCTTTGACATTCCATTTTGTCCTATCAGTATTTGTCCTCTGCTGCACCATGTTTCTGGTCTACATGGTATTGTCATGGTTCAAAGGTTTAGATGTGTCTTAACCAGTGCAGCATCCCTGACCCTTGATTCACAGTCCATCAACCCAGTGACTGACTTCACTTAAATATGACGGAAGCAGGCATGGTGGTACAAGCTTTTGAAGGTAAAGGCAGGTGGATCTGAGTTGAGGTCAGCCTGGACTACAGAGTGAGTTCCAGGACAGCCAGGGATACAGAGAAACCCTGTCTCGAAAAACCCAACAAAACATGATGAACATTTTACACATTGCACATACCTGTGGTACATGTATGTCTCCCTACTGAAATGGACATGTGCTGCAATAATATAAAGTATCACATGAAAGCCTGGTATTGCGACACATAGCCTAAAATCCCAGTATTTGGGAGGTAGAGACAGGAGTTTTAAGCCCTGAGGTCCTGTGTCAAATTAACAACAAAAAGTAGCATATAAAACCATGTTTTATTCCTTTGGAGACCTGTTAGAAACAACCTAAGGCCTCGTTTTCTTCACAGCATTGAAGGGAATGCCCACACTGTCCAAACAGTTAGGCAGATGGAGGTTTAGCCCACATTTCAGGGAGCTTCAGGACTGGGAAGTAGTGACCTGGTAGTGAAAGGGGACCACTGTCAGATCTGAGTGGTATTTCTCTGCCTCACCAATACCTTTTTAATGCCATTTTGTCTTCTTGCTGGTTGACCTTACTGCCTTAAAGGTCCTTCTGGACGGTTTAGCCCTAGTTCAATGACAACACTGGCTAGTTCTCTCTATTCTTTACACTAAGTGAAAATAGGAATGTGGAGAGAAAGGCGAGTGGGAATCCAGGTCCTCTGAAATTGGGAAGGTCCTATAGAGGGGCTCTGGATGTCCTTTATTTTTGTAAGAGGATGGTCACAGTCAAGGCATGCCATTTGAGCACAGAGCTGCTCTCCACCGCTGACCCTAAGGGTGTTCTCTTTTGCTTGTGTCTTAGGCAGGAAATGTGGTAACAGGAGAGATGGTAGAAGAGCTAATCCTCTCTGGAGCTGACATCATCAAAGTGGGAATTGGTCCTGGTAAGCTGGTTCCCTGGGGCCGCTGTTCTATCTACCCCTTTGGTGGTAACCACAGAACGCTTTTCTCACCTGTCACATTCTTCCCAGGCTCTGTTTGTACAACTCGGAAGAAAACTGGAGTGGGGTACCCACAGCTCAGCGCAGTGATGGAGTGTGCAGATGCTGCTCATGGCCTCAAAGGCCATATCATTTCAGTAAGACCCAAGGGCTGGGGAGGATTGCGGCTGGCTGCCTAGCAGCTATGTTTTCTGTGGTGTGGGGCCCCAGTAAAGTCCCAGTCAGGAGCTGAATTCATGTCCATTTTGATATGGGCAGTTGTGAAGCCTTGAGAAGTCCATGCTGTCTCTTACAGTGTTTGTTACTTTGTAGGATGGAGGCTGCAGCTGTCCTGGGGATGTGGCAAAGGCTTTTGGTAAGGAGACTGGGAAAGCATAGGAAGAGGATCCTGTAAGTCATCTCAGGGTCTAGGGTCAGGCTAGCAGCAGCTCGGGAAGCCATTCAGATTCATAATATGAACTAGTGACCCTGAAACCTTAAGTGTCACTTGTGACAAGCCAGCAGAGGAAATTCTGAGATTTTTGGACAATGCAGGTATCTGAGCCCTATACCCAACCTACAAAATCACCCTAAGGGAAAAAAATGCAAATCTCCATTTTTCTGTTTCCCAGGTGATCCTTAAAATTGGAGAGCTATCTTCTTGGGTCTAAAGTCACACTCAGCTGGGGAGCAATAAAATGAAATCACCAGAAGATAGAAAGGCAGAAACAAACCAGCCAGGGAACGTCCAGGTCTTTAAAAATCTTGAGGAAGTTAATTCTAATGGGTAGGAGAGGCATGGGCAGAGCAGTCCCAAGAAACTATGGATTAGCTGTGCAAACAGATCCAAGATGTTGGTTCACAGAACTAACTCTGACACAAACTGTTTTTGAAGGTGGCTATATGGGTACCTTGGCCTTTTTTTCCCAACTCCTTGACTTTGGCAGGGGCAGGGGCTGACTTTGTGATGCTGGGTGGCATGCTGGCTGGGCACAGTGAATCAGGTGGTGAACTCATTGAAAGGGATGGCAAGAAGTACAAGCTCTTCTATGGAATGAGTTCTGAAATGGCCATGAAGAAATACTCAGGAGGTGTGGCCGAGTACAGGTATGTATGGAAGGCTAGCGTGAGTGTTGGTGAACATGGCTATGGAAAATCGTGTCATGCCTCCTGGGAAATTTAGGGTACCATTCTTGCGAGAAAAATGGTCAAGGGTTATAAATGTTAGAGACAGAAGAGTCACTGGGATTAAGAAATTCTGAACAAATAGGTAATAAAAGTTTTTCTTTTCCAAGGGCCTCAGAGGGAAAGACCGTAGAAGTTCCTTTTAAAGGGGATGTGGAACATACTATTCGTGACATCCTAGGAGGCATCCGGTCTACGTGCACATATGTAGGGGCTGCTAAACTGAAGGAATTGAGTCGGAGAACTACCTTTATCCGAGTCACCCAGCAAGTGAATCCAATCTTCAGTGAATCTCGATAACCTGACAAGTCTACTTTCCCAAGGCAGCAACACTCTGCCACTGGGGCCTCAAAGGCTTTTCTCTCATTCCAGCTACCATGTGTTACTTAATTCAGCTCCTATCACCTCACTCCTGAGTGCTCCTGTAGTCACTGCGTTTCCTGCACACACACAATGCTAAAGGCACTCACTGGGGAGGAGGCAAAAAGAAGACATGAGATCAACAAATGGGAATCTGGGGACAGCATCCTGAGACTAGGAGGAAAAGATGCTGATTGATACATAAATGACAAGCCTTGGTCTGGAAAAAGGCTTTTGGAATCATGTTAATCGGCTTCATTAAATGAGATCATCAAATAACTAAACAGCTTAGAAGTACTTAAGTATTTCAAATAACCTTAATAAAGATAGATCCTTTTAGTGGGAAAAAGAGATGCTGGGCTATCGGCACAGTTGAAATCTAAATGCTCCTCCTAGGCAGAGTATGGGAGCAATAACAATGAGTGTTATTCCCATGAAGCACCTACACTCTGGTGTCACCAGTCCCAGGTAACTTGGTAGCATGAACATTTGCAGAACAAATCCTGCCATTAGAGAATGTTGACAGAAGCAGCACTCATGATTTATTTCTAGGCTCTCAACCCTGGTAACCCATCCAGATAAATCAGAACAACCCTTTCAAAGCAAGGAAATATGGGAAGGGCTTCAACCAGCTCTAAAGCCAGTTATGTTCCTGAGGAATGACCTACATAGAAGGAAGTCTTAATTCCCCTTCTTTCCATCAAGGCATTGTAACACATTCAAATTTTAATTTTCAAGCATTACAAAGCTTCAGCAACGTAGCCAGGCAGCTCGGCTCTGGGCTTCCTTTTCATTCCCACTAAACTGCACACAGAGCTGCAGAGGTTGATGGGCAGAGTGCAAGGGCCTTCCAGAACCATTACAGGACCCTAGAATTGGCTATCTTGCCAGGAGCAAACAGGCAGGACTCGGGCATGTAGTCACAAAACATGGGGATAAAGGTGCCAAACTTTGTCTTCTGATAGTTTTTCAGAGACTCCTATAGAGAAGGAAGCACAGTGCCTAGAACCGGAACCCCTAATGTGGATGTCTGCCTTGCTCTGCCCATCCTCAGCCTTCTGTTTCTTCCTACTCACCTTTCTTTCCCTCTGGTTATTTTCTTCCTCATCAGAGTCCAAAACCCAGTCCCCTATGGTAATAACAGAGCCACACAGAGACGGGGACTGCACTGCCGCTGCAGGAGAGAAACCACAATTAAAATAAAACCATTTACTTGCTCTGGAGACCAGGCTGGTCTCAAACTCACAGAGCTCCACCTGTTTCCACCTCCCACATGCTGGGATTAAAGACGTGTGCCACCACTACCCGGCCCAAAACCATTCTCTTAGGTGAATACAGGCCCTGAAAATTGCCAAGGAAAGGCTATCTACTCGAGTCTTGAGTCAGCCCACTAACCTGGTTTCTTGGGTCTAGCAGGTGATAATGACAGTTTCAGAGGATCCATGTAGCAATTCACAGAGTTCCTGAAGTGGGAACAAGGGAAAGGTAGGTGAAGAAGGAAAGTGGGCAAGGAATGGGTTCCTAAGTAAGGAGAAGCAAGTCTTACTCCATTTGCTCTGCAGCAGGTATGTCAGGGAGGCTCTCTTCTGGAGCTCTTTTCCCTGTGGTCTGAGATGCAGTCTTGGATTTTCCAGTGGCGACTGGTTTTGTACCCACAGAACCCGCTGTGTCCACTCCATGCTCTTCCCTGCTTTTCCGGTGAGATGTATTTTGGGCTGTTAAGTCCACATTCCTAAAGGGGAACAGCATGACTGTAGGCCGCTCTTTATGACATCCCTTTGCAGATGTCCACTGTGATCGGAATTTTCGCTTCCCTAGAGGGGCCAGATTAAAGCGGCTGCCAGCTAAATGTTCTGGGTGCTCCCGTGAAGCTGGCTGGTGAAGGCCAGACTTAGCTTTAGGCAGAGGACTATGGAGTGCTGGTTTTGCTTGCTGACGAGGACTCTGTTCCACTGGTTCTGTCAGATTCACTGAGCCAGAAGCTGAGCTCTCTAAAAGATAAAATAAGATGCCTTATAAAATTAGAAATAGGTTAATTAACTCAGTCAGGTTTGTGTCTCAGGTCCACATAATTTCTAATCAGCTGACTCAGGTTTGGTCAAGGTAAACACTAGCCTCCTAGTTATCCCAATGGTTCCCTTACCTGGAAATGGCCATCCCATATCCATACCATAGTGGCGCAAAGCAACAGAAGAGGTGACAAAACAGCCAGACTGAAGCCAACTTAGGGCATCCTGAAGCTGTGGGCAAAGTGACAGATATGAGGACCATGGGTCTCAGAAAGGCTATCCCACACTCTGCCCTTCCGGGGTTTTGTCTCAACAACCTCTTGTGCCTTGACTGGAGGCAGTGCTTTCTCTAGCTGACACAAGTATTCAAATAACAGCTTCTCCATGGCAACCAGAAAGGGTTCCCCATAGTCTTGTTTGAGTTCCTATATGTGGGAAAGAGAAACAGATCATATGAGTTTTATAAAAAACAGGAATCACATAAAATCCTCCAAACCAACCATTCTCACCGGCAGGCTCGAGGCCAAATCCTCAGCCTTTGACAGCTGCTTCACATGCAGGCAAAAATTCTCCCGGGCTTCTAAAATCTTCCTATCTTGCCTTTTCTGTTGAGGAGAGGGAAGACAGAAAAATTAGGGGCAGAGGGTGTCACGAGGACCCAGGGGCTACTTGGTTGCATCACGCCTCAGGAGTATGGCCTATCGAGGGATTACTCACAGTTGCAGGGTTCAGTGGTTCCGGTCCGGACTCTGGGAAGTGATGATCCAAGGCATTCAGGACCTGGACCCAGGGTTGCTCCTGCAGGATCAACTCCACCACCACCTGCATGGTACTGAGTTCAGAATTCCCACCCTTTTTCAACCGATCTCAATCCCAACCAGTCGGCCTTCCTCAGGGCCTTGCATCTCGCCCCTTTAGGTTCTACTCTAGTACCTTGGCTTTTAGGCCTATACACAGACGTTCGTGGTGTCGGTAGCAAACCAAGCCGGGAGCGGCTGCGCGCAGGGACTGCAGAAACTCTACCACTCTTGGGAAGTGCTCCACGCGACGTTGGCGGACGACCAGCCAGCAGGCCGCAGCTGCAAACCGTAGAGACGCGGGACCCACCCCCGGAGGTGGCGCCATGGCCCGCAGGCGCCCTTTCCTCCGCGCCCCTCTCGCTCCGCCCAGGCTTCCCGGCCCCTCCCGCAGGCCGAGCTTCGGTTCTCTCGTCGGCGGACTGACTTGGATCCCTTCCGCAAAGCACCGAAATTCTGGCGTTCCCCTCCTGGGCGGTGATTAAGTATCCGACTCAAACTAGACCGCTAAGCTCAAAACGCTGGCACTTTGCGGAACTCACGGGTGCGCCACTTCCGCCTGAGCGCGCAGCTTTCCCGCCCCGGAAGAGGCCACGCGGGGATCTGTGACGTCAGTGAGGACGCCTGGCCTGGAAACGATGCTCCCCCCACCCCCACCCCGGCGCCTCTCTTTCTCTTCCTCTTCACTCTTGGAAGCGGGGTTTCTGTCACCCCAGCCGCCCTAACCCGCGCCCGCGAAGCCTTTCCTGGGGCGCAAGGCTCTCTCAGAGAGAACTCGGCCGTTTCTCTCGCAGAACAGAAGAGGGCGCTCGCGTTTAAGAAAACCAAACACAGGGCTGGAACCTGGCTCCACCGCGGAGTGCTTGCCCTTCCGCGCTGATCGCCAGCCCCCGACGGGTCCAACGCCACGTGAAACCCACACTGCTGGCCATGGCTTCCCTGGGCAGCAGGGTTACAGCCGCTTTGTGCTTCTCTGTGCCACATCTTTGCTGTCTCGTGTAGTTTCGAATATTTAAAGTTTCCTTTTCCAAGTTTATTTGGGCGCTAACTTGATTGAGCCCTTTAGTGAATTGACTGTTGTACTTGTCCGACTCCTTGTCATAGTTCCTGATGCCTCTTTTTTTTTGTTTGTTTGTTTGTTTTGTTTCTCGAGACAGAGTTTCTCTGTATACAGTCCTGGCTGTCCTGAAACTCGCCTTGTAACCAGACTGGCCTCGAACTCTCTGAAATCCGCCTCCCTCTGCCTCCCAAGTGCTGGGATTAAAAGCATGCGCTACCACTGCCTGGTTCCTAGTGCCTCTTACTGCCATCCCCAAAGACAGGACCAGGCACACTGTACACTCTTATTTTGTTGATTGAATTCACCTACCTTGCCCACCTTACGAGCATTTCAGGTAACCTGCCCAGACTCAAGGCTCACACATTGCCTCCGTTCCCCAGCTCTGTTCTGAGCTAAGCCAGACCTAGTACACATTGGATGTTAAAGTTGGCGTTTCATCCTTTTTCTCTCATTTTTATGCAAATCTGAATTTCTGACCTATATAATGTTCATGTTTTTATTAAGAATTTTTCTCATAGGGTATGATGTTGCACACCCATAGATCCCACCGTGAGGGAGATGAGGCAGGTACATTGTGAGGAGTTCAGAGGCCAACTGTACTACATGTTATAAGACAACTTGTGTCTACAATTGTGCTACAAGTTGCAAGACCTTCCCAGCGTTCAAAAAAAAATTCTAACATCTTGCAGGCAGCTCTACTTGTGACACATTTCCTTGATTATTGTTCAAGAAAGTATTTCACTTTGGAAGAGAATTTCTCTGAATACAGTTACAGATTGGTGGGCTTTTCCCCTACTTTCCAATACTGTAACTGTTTCCCCTCTACTCCCTATTGTGGCACGGTTCTGAGTGGAAGTCCATTCTAGCTACCCATTGTCTTTAAACCTGAGAAACTGATTTCCTTTTTAAAATTAGTGTATATTAATTTAATTCTTTTGAGATTTTTAAAATCTATTTTTATTTAATGTGTGCCAATGTTTTGCCTGACTGTATGCCTGTGTACTATGTGTGTGCAGTGCCCACGAGGGCAGACAGAGATATTAGTTAGGTCCCCTGGGACCAGAGGTACAGATGGTTGTGAGCCACCATGTGGGTGCTGGGAATTGAACCACCTCTGTCCTCCGTCAGACCAGCCAGTGCTCTTAACTACTGAGCTGTTCCTCCACCCCTTGACTTAATTCTCTTTTTAAATTATTTATTTATTTTATTTATTTATTTATTTTTATTTTGTGTGATTGGTGTTTTGCCTACATGTATGTCTGTGTGAGGGTGGATCCGCTGGAACTGGAGCTACAGATGGTTGTGAGCTGCCATGTTGATGCAGGGAATTGAACCTGGGTCCTCTGGAAGAGCAGCCAGGGCTCTTAATTGCTGAGCCTCCTCTCCAGTTCCCCTTAATTTCTTTTTTAAAAAATTTATTTATTTCTATTTTATGTATGAGTTAATTTAATTATTTTTGTCTTTTTGTTTCTCTGTGTCCTGGCTGTTCTGGAATTTGCTCTGTCGACCAGGCTGACTTCAAATTTACAGAGATCTGCCTGCCTCTGCCTCCCAAGTGCTGGGATAAAAGACGTGCACCTTCACTACCTGGCCAAGTTAATCTAATTCTTAACCTTGATGGTCATTAGACAGTGTTCTCTGGCCCACTTATATCCTCTATTTTCTGCTTGTTTCAGTCAATATTTTTTCTTTGTGTGTGTGTGTGTGTGCGCAGTTTGAATATCATTTAGCTCTGTTTGCATTAGCATTTATTCTGCTTGCTCTTTGGAGTTCTGGATCTGTGTTTATATCCATCATTATTTTGGGGCACTTCTCAGTCATTGCTTCAAACCCTTCATCCTCTGGTCTCACTGTGTATATGTGCTGCATGAAACCCCGCATCCTCTGGTCTCTGTGTGTATGTGCTGCATGAAACCCCGCATCCTCTGGTCTCTGTGT